ATAGAACGGCCTCCACAATACCAAGTAATTCAAACAATATGTTGTAAAACTCAGACCAATGACAACACTAACAACATCATCGCCAATCCTTTAATATCAACATGCACGAATGTCAATATTACAAGTTACAATATTACTGCCTTAGGCTAAGAAATATGGAATGTTCTCGGGCATCGGGGCGTCTCTTAACATCCTGCGCATCAGTCAGTTTGCACTGCCAATTTAAAATATAATATTTTAAAAATTTCCCGCTTATGTGAAAATACTTTGCTATCCATAAAATTAAAATGCTTGAAATAAATATTGTATACAAGGGCCGAGTTCCATGTGTGCCCAGTTGTGTGTTGGTATTCTTGGTTGAAAAAATGAAAAGTGTTCCCCTCGAATCACTTTTGTTTTCAATAAAAATATATAATAAAGCCCTCACTTTTCAGAAAAAATGTACATAAAATACATTTAATTAGCTTTGTGTCTGCAGCCTTTGCCATCCAACACAATACTAACTGAACATTACCATATAAAAAATTCTTAAATTTCCAGACTTCGAGCATTGTTTGAGCCGCCGCAGATTCCCCCGACAATTTGCTGACCTGAGGGAAACTGTGTTGTGTGCAGCAGGCGGCAATGTAAATAGGTATGTTGGAACGAAACTACTGGCATTGTATTAATCTAAGGTTACAGACAGTTCAATCAACATAAAGTATCACGCTGTTTATGTGCAAATGCGAAAAATATATGCAAATGGCGCTACTTAACAGCCGACGTGTTTATTTAGCTGACAAACACCAACACGACATGACAACGTTAACATACACATGGAGAGACGCATAATGGCGATTCCAGCTCAGATAGTGTGCTCGGTCGCCACATTATGTTTCGTAATCTCAAATATTTACTTAGCAGTATTTGTGGGAATATGTATTCCGAACATCAAGGATCCCGGCCCCGACAACAGAAACATTAGAAGGCAGCAAAGTTGTAGCAGTTATCTCCCTGAAATAGCAGACGACTTCCTGAACTCCTCATGCATGCACCAGCCCCAGAATTCCGAGTTGTTGTTTTTGTGAGACTAGTCCAGAGGACTAGGTAAACTTTATTTACCAAGTCCTTAGAGTTTGTAGTTTATCCTGCTTGAACGAAACAAAACATGTTTTCTATGCTGACAGTTTCCGACAATTTTAAATAGTTTACATTTGAAGCAAAATTGTACTTTGCGAACTGGTTCAAAATTAAAGGCCTAAATGCCACGAGTCAATGACTATCATCACTTTGTACTTTTCCTCGGCATAATATGGTAGTCTCGGGCTAGCGGTCTAGCGTGAATTTCGAAGGATGTTCATTGCTCCAGACCCTTGGAAAACGCAACGCAACTGACCCTCGAATCGAATAGTTTCCTAATGCATGGTAGAATCTTGTCTTTTGTGGTTCCTTGGTCCTATTGTTCTACCATCTGCTCCAGTATACTAGTATTCAAAGGTAATGAAATCAATGTGAATCTGTTGCACATTGCCGACTGTAATTTGGGATGCTCTTCGTGGAAGTACCTGGCTTTCTCATACAATTAGTGGTATGAGAGAAAACAATGGAAACAAACAAACAATTGAACGCCTGCTTTGTAGGTAACATCTTGATTAAAAAAAACAATAATTAAATCTTTATTAATCTTCATTGATCTCAAATAATTCTAGACTCGGTAAACTGCTGTGGTTATTCTGATGACATATCGCACCTAGACACAAGGAACACTGCATCTGTACACCAAGAACATTGTATCTGTACACCAGGAACATTGTATCTGTACACCAAGAACATTGTATCTGTACACCAGGAACATTGTACCTTTACAACAGGAACATTGTATCTGTACACCAGAAACATTTCACCTTTACACCAGGAACATTGTATCTATACACCAGGAACATTGTACCATTACACCAGGAACATTGTACCATTTCACCAGGAACATTGTACCTATACACCAGGAACATTGCACCTTTACACCAGCAACACTGTATATATACACCAGGAACATTGTATCTGTACACCAGGAACACTGTATCTATACACCAGGGATATTGTACCTTTACACCAGGAACATTGCACCTTTAGACCAGTAACATTGCACCTTTACACCAGGAACATTGCACCTTTAGACCAGTAACATTGCACCTTTACACCAGGAACATTGTACCTTTAGACCAGTAACATTGCACCTTTAGACCAGTAACATTGCACCTTTAGACCAGTAACATTGCAGCTTTAGACCAGGAACATTGTACCTTTACACCAGGAACATTGCACCTTTACACCAGTAACATTGCACCTTTACACCAGGAACATTGTACCTTTACACCCGGAACATTGTACCTTTACACCCGGAACATTGTACCTTTAGACCAGGAACATTGCACCTTTACACCAATAACATTGCACCTTTACACCAGGAACATTGTACCTTTACACCCGGAACATTGTACCTTTACACCCGGAACATTGTACCTTTACACCAGGAACATTGTACCTTTACACCAGGAACATTGTATCTGTACAGGAGGAACATTGTACCTTTACACCAGGAACATTGTATCTTTAGACCAGTAACATTGCAGCTTTAGACCAGGAACATTGTACCTTTACACCAGGAACATTGCACCTTTACACCAGTAACATTGCACCTTTACACCAGGAACATTGTACCTTTACACCCGGAACATTGTACCTTTACACCCGGAACATTGTACCTTTAGACCAGGAACATTGCACCTTTACACCAGGAACATTGTATCTGTACAGGAGGAACATTGTATCTGAACACCAGGAGTGAGTGAGTGAGAATGGTTTTACGCCGCTTTTAGCAATATTCCAGCAATATCACGGACACCAGAAATGTGCTTCACACACACCAATTCCGCAGGAACATTGTACCTATACACCAGGAACATTGTATCTGAACACCAGGAACATTGTACCTTTACACATTGAACATTGTATCTGTACACCAGGAACATTGCACCTATACACCAGGAACAAAAGTTGAGAACCACCCATTCTTCACGTTCATGTCAGAGAACCACCCATTCTTCATGTTCATGTCAGAGAACCACCCATTCTTCACGTTCATGTCAGAGAACCACCCATTCTTCACATTCATGTCACGAGACCTGTGAAGATTCCAGGGTAGAATAGGTCTTCAGCAACCCATACTTGCCACAAAAGGTGACTCTGCTTGTTGTAAAAGGCGACTAACGGGATCGGGTGGTCAGGCTCGCTGACTTGGTTGATGCATGTCATCGATCCCAATTGTGTGGATCGATGCTCATGATATTAATCACTGGATTGTCTGGTCCAGGCTCAATTATTTACAGACCGCCGTCATATAGCTGGAATATTGCTGAGTGCGGCGTTAAACAACAAACCAACCAACCAATCATGTCACGAATGTCCTTGAATGCTTCTAAATATCTGAAGATGTTTCTAAAGACTGCATTATAAAACATATTTAGATATTGTGTGTAGGTCATACAATTCCATAAAGGAGCTTAATTAAGAAATAAGGTTTGCTCTACCCCCTTGTATAATGCAATACAGTATAACTTTTCCCTGAACTATTACAGTTAGCGCGCAAGGACACTGGTAAGGAACAAATTTATATTACTTTTCGAACATGCCAAATTTAAGACTAACCTTGTGTTTTAATAGTTGTTAAAAATCAAATCTGTAATAGTGCGCACTTTACTCAAGAAAATCGATAAGTGGCCCCAAAAATTGAAAATCCTCGAACAAGCCAAACAGACAGGCTGTTCCACTGTTCCATTGCCAGCATCTTCATGTTAAAAGACGAAATCTGTATAAAATGCCCAAATGTGTAGCTTCGAGTTAAATAGGTAGCATTTCTTTGTAGAAAGAGCATGCTCGATAGTACCTCAATAGTTGTGAAATGTAGACACCAAAGGCTGGATCTTCTGGGATATTGCTCCACATGAAGGAAAAGTTGTCTATTGGAAAGTTATTGTGATTTGGGGTGCTTTCCATTGTGAAAGTTGAAACCAATGTGTGCACCACTAATGTTAGCAGATTACATCAACTGCAATCATGAAATGTTTGTTGTTAAACGCCGCACTCAGCAATATTCAGGCTAAATGAGGGCAATCTTAAATAATCAAGTCGGGACCAGGCAATCCAGTGATTGACATCATGAGCATTGATCTACACGACTGCGATGCTATTACATGCATCGACGAAGTCACTGAGTCTGATTACATGATCCCGTTAGTCGTCTCTTACGCCAAGCATAGTTGCTTCTTACGCCAAGTATAGTTGCCTCTTATATACATAGTCGCCTCTTACTACAAGCATGAGTTACTGAAGACCTATTCTAACCCAGATCTTCACGGGTCAGTCATGAAGTGGAGTGCTTACCGAGTTGGTAAACGTAATCGGTGCTAACCGTGATTCAAACCCATTCCTAGTTTTCTGGCGTGCCCAAAGGTCACAACTCTACCCAGCACCTTTGAGGAATGTGCCAGCAGTGCCCCCTATAACAAGGAGTTTGGGCGTTGACCTTACCAGAATAAAGTCACACTGTCCACAATCCTGCCTGGTTGGTTGTCCTTGTATGACTTAAATCATCTTTAGTCCCTTTTGGGTGTAGGATACCAGTATGCTGAACACCATACGAAGAGACTAGCATTGCAATCAGACTTTAAGTATACTCGAATACACAAAGTATTCTACACATCGAAAACGCATAAATGGCCTGTGTGAGAAACTGCAGAGTGAAGTTGTAACAGACTTAGGCACCCACAGAAACAGATGAGTATTTGACCCAGCATTTCAATTATATTAGGATGTGGAAGCTAAGGCATTTTAAGGCTTGGTTAATGCTGACCCACATGTTCACGAATATTATGAAACATGACTTGAGGAGACAAAACCATTTCTTTGTTTCAATTTTCATCATAGCCAACAACTCTCAGAAACGATTTAAAAGACATGTTTTTAAGTGATATTTTTATTATTCTTCCAACCAATTACCCGACAGTTTTGAAACAAATATGTACAATAACCAACCAATTAACAAACAGAAGCCTTGATTTCAGGGAAAGAGATGCATGGCGTGTATGATTACCACTGCCTTGAAATCACCACCAACATGACACTGATCTAAGAGCATAATCAGGTGAATCTGACATTGAACATGCTGAAACCCAATATCAGCACATCCTGTCAAGTAAGGGAGGTGACTCAGTCCTACAAATGTCAGCATGTTCAGCCAAAAGGCCCCTAGTCTTCCCGTGGAATGACATCAGTGTTTGTCATCCATGCTGGCCTGTTTTTAATGTTGGTCAGTTTGTTTACTCCATCATAACACTTGCACTAGTTCGAGAGTTCATCCTGGTCCAGGAAGTGGTGTGGACTTCTTGATGTAGATAGAACAAACCAACGTCACAGTAATCAGGAATATAGCTTCACAAAGTCCTCCAGTGCGGCAACAGTCTCCGTAGATAGTGCTTCCTCAGCCTGGAACATGTAAAAGTAGCACTGTAGATGTTTACATTTCAAAGAGACCAGACAATCCAGTGATTGACATCCTGACCATCGATCTACACAATTGGGATTCGATGACATGCATCAACCAAGTCAGCATGCCTGACCACCTGATCCTGTTAGTCGTCTCTTACAAGCATAGTCCCTTTTTACGGCAAGCATTGGTTGCTGAAGGCCTATTCTACCCAGGATCTTCACGGGTCTCCAGCTATATGCCGTCAGTCTGTAAATAATACAGTCTGGGCCAGAAAATCCAGACGATCCTGGACCAGACAATTGCCTGAAGTGATGCAGTATTACTCTGAGATGTGTACCACTTTGGCGAAAAGGGTGCTGACAAACAAGGGTGATAATCAGGTATTCAAATCCACAATCAGCAGATCCTGGCACCTGCAAGGGCGGCAACTCTGTACAGCGAACAGTGTTAGTGAACAAACTAGGTCACATGTGCCCCTAAAATAACATGAATTTGTGTTATCAGTAACTGACACGTGTACTTCACAACTCAGGTATAAAATCATCTAAATGACTGAAATCTTATCAGATTGGACTGAGATTCCCTACCTTCTGCCACACACCACAGATCTGCTCAACTTGTTCCCGTGTAGCATACAGCTTCTCCTGACGCGCCCGGACAGTCTCCTGCAACATCCGGTTCCGGGACTCAAGTTCTTTCAACATGGCCGCCAACTGCTCCCGGTGCTTCATGTGCCCCGGCAGGATGTGGGCACGGACATCGACATTCGGGTCTCCAGTTGGTCTCCTATAGATGTACCAGATGGTCACACAAGTTTCATACTCACATCTCATACACTTTATAGATGTAAACAAAAAAGATAAGATTATATTTACCAGAAATGACACATCGATCTTATGATTGTTTATACGATTCACAAAATAAATGTGGGAAAAAGATCAAGAAAAAGTTAACATCTTTTTAAAAAAACTCTCAAATGTCAGTTTTATAGAGCTCGTCCTCTGATATATATAATACCATGCCGCTGATTAACATGAATACTGATAGCATACTGACTCTGAACCGACCAATCCTTGCTTTATCCCCTTAATGCCAAGTGCCAGGAAGGGAAACAACAAGTACCATCTTTTAGCATCTTAGGTATGATGAGGACATTGATTGAACCACCGATCTTCCACTCTCCGGGCAGACATGGCCATGCACTAGGTCATGGGGTAGGTATCATGGTAAAAAGCCTCCATAACGTGGCAAGTGTAGATTTTTCATTTATTGTATCATGTGCCAGTGAGTGAGTGACGTTTTACACCGTTTTTAGCAATATTCCAGCAATATCACAGTGGGGGACACCAGAAATGGGCTTCAAAGGGAACTGAACCCGGGGCATTGGCGTGACAAGCGAAAGCTTCAACCACTAGGCTACCCCACCGCCCTCTCACATGAGTAAGGTATCACAACCTTACTCATGCTGTTATCAAGATATGACTAGAACCACAACAAAGGGTACTGTTACTCTTACACTTACATCCCTTGTAATGAGGTGAATGTTCCAGATTTGTCTTAAGCCTGATCACATGATCACATAGAGTGCTGTAGGAATGTACATAATTACCAAGCTGTGTCTGGGTACTCCACCAGCTCTTCCAGGCCATTCATCAGAGGCAGAATGTTCTCTTCCTCAAACATGTTGGCGATTTCATCCTTTCACAGAGAAACAGCAGTAGTGAAACATCCATTGACTCAGAGTGAAGACCTGGGTGCCATTGCACAAATCAGTCTTAGCGCTAAGGTGATCGTTTTGTTTGCTAAATGTTGTTTAGCGCTGCACTCAGCAATATTCCAGCTATATGACGGCGGTCTGTAAATAATCGAGTCTGGACCAGACAATCCAGTGATTGACATTATGAGCATCGATCAACGCAATTGGGATGTGAAGACATCCATGAACCAAGACAGTGAGTCTCACCACCCAATGCTGATGGTCGCCTCTTACGACAAGCATGGGTATTCTAACCTGGATTTTCATGCGTACTAAGGTGATCGTAAATCCCATATCTTAACATAGACATATGGTTGTTTCATACAACTGCACCCTGGTGCTCCTCACAAAGTTCATTACATTAACATAATGTATTAAGCGTTCCAAAATAAACATGACAGTACACATGTTGTAATAGTAATGTTCATAAACATTGTGGGTGTCTTCCATCCCAGGACTGATTCTAACGTGAACACTGGCACGACTACAAATAAAGAAGCAGTGCTTTGGACAAAACAGATGATCATTTAATTAGAAACTTGGCACTGGTGTACTTGAGTGACTATCTAATCCATGTAGATCATCACCAGGTCACGTGGATCAAACAGACATGGGTCAGTTGGTAGGTTGGTTTTGTTTTTAATTAATGTTTGTTTTGATACTCAGGGGTAGAAACTAACATTTTTAGCTCACTAGTCCTTATAATGATAACATATAGCAAAACCCTTAAAAATGGCAAATTCCTACTAGTCCTTAGGATACCTTAAATATTGGCCAGTTTGGCAAGGACTACAGGACTAGCGCCAATTTCTAACCCTGATACTGTTTAACACAATGGCTTGTTTAGAACTGATGAAGGTCAAAATAGCAACAGTAACAATAATAAGTGGAAACAACTGATTACTTTCAAATGTTAAACATACTAAATATGGGTTTCTTGACATCTGTCTCCTGCTATGACAAAACAATATGTCAGTGACTTATTGAAACACAAGTATTGGTGTTTTTTTCTACCTATAAAACTCTAAATTAAAACAATTTAGTTACTACACAAGGAAATTCTTTTTAAAATGGAGCAATTCAACATTTTAACATCCAAGTATTGTTTTGGAGAAATGAGTCAATCAATGATACACCCTGTGCTATTTTCGCAGGCTCAGTCATTCTTACAAAGATGTTTGAATCCAGCTGCTGAACCATCTGATCCCGGATGCCTCTCAGAGCTTTAGAGTTGTGGTCATAAAGAGGTCGGAAATGTTCCTTGAATGCAGTGTACCTGGAAACAGATGACAGATGGACATTATCAGTAACCTTGGTAACAGACATAACATGTACAGGCTCAAGATATTGACACCAACAGAAAATACATGGTCCTTTTCTTTACTCTTACGCAGTTCCCACAGGCAACGCAAAAATAATCTAAAAATAGTAACACAATCACCAGTGTTGGCACTTTATTTTGGTACCAAATACATTTTGAAAACATTCTATTTTGTAACAGTAAATCGTAAGTAAAGTAACTATGCGACTTTAAATCATCATAGCGTCAACAATATTCACTAAAACATTGTAAGTTCAGATATAAACCGTTTCTTCATTCAGTTTCCTTTCCAACAAATGTCCCTTTTTTCAGACTTCCAGTACAAAAGTTTCCATTTGGAATACAATTATATTTTACTTGTTTTTTATTCATGCTTAGTCTTCAAGAAAATATTTTAAAATAAATCAAATAGGTCATGCTGCTGCATGCTCAAGGGAAAAGTGTGTATCTTGAAGGGACTTGACTTTTAAGAAAATATTTCTTCCAGTACCACACCATCAACAATAACATTTTTAAGATATGACGTAAAACATTCGTGAATCTAAAATTAACAGCATCAAAGTTGTTATTAGTTTATCCCCACGAAACGTTTCCAAGCCTCACCTCTTTTCGCCCCTAAACAATACGTAACCACACGCTTTATGACGTAATCAAGGTAGACACTTCAAAGCCCACTGAACACATCAAAGTGTTCGCCACTTTGAGCTGAAGTTATGTTACGAATTAAGCTACACGAGGTAAGATATTCAATAACTAATGAAAACATACCTCAAAACATACCTTTTCACTAATGCACATTTTAATCAAACTTGATCTGATGATAATTTTGCATAAGAACAATCCTATGCACCGGTGATGTATCAGCTGCTGTTTGTAAACTTGCTGTCTGTAATGCCATGTGACTGATCATTTTGTGCCTCTATTTTTAACTTGACTGTCATGGAGGGGCTCGGAAGAAGATGGCACTGATTCACTTATCTCGCTTGGCGAGATATTATCACGATAAAATTGACAGGATGTGGTTATTTGACTATCCAGTTGTAAACATGCAGAAATAAATATTCTCAAAGGTAAGACTGAATTTTAGCGTATTGCAATTGTTATTGGACAGTAATCAAAAATATTTCTTAGGGAATCGAAAACACAGTAGACGAGGATACAATAACACATGGTATTGGTAGGGTTTGGGGCAAGAATGCAGTATACCGGACACCTTCCAGCATTTTGGTAAGGGATGTGCACGATCTTATTCCTTAGTAACGGTTTCTATGTTTTTCAGACGCAGATACAAAATACTTAATTAGTAGCATCAAACAAACATGTCAGATAGGTGTCCGGTATAATGCATGTTTACCCTAACTAAGACAATAAGTAGTCAATGGGAAAATGTGATGGCGTGTAGCCTAGTTGAATGTAAACAACTGCATCAATGTGAGCTCACCTCACTGAAGACAGACACTTTTTTACAGTCTTCTCGAGAGCCTGACGTAAGTGAATCATGTGACGACCTTCTGGCTGTGGATCAGGTCTGTTTTCACTTGAATCGGTAGTTTTACAGCTGACGGTATCTGCCGCATCGCTACATCCAGCTTCGCGATCCCCTTCTTCCATTTTTGACTTTCGCGCTTCCGCGTCAGGTAAGCTATAAAAGTTGTCTGCTTAGATTTACGGTTAGTATTTCCCTTTTCGTTTCTTTCCTTCATTGAAATATTTCCATAATTTCTTCTGCAAAATTCGGAATTCCTCTTTACTGTCATCTTCAACAGTTTCATGTCTCAATATGCAACAACAGGCAAATATATATTTACTCACCCGAACAAGTAATATTTTTGACAAACCCGTATTTGTACTCTATTATTAGGAGTGTAGTCCTTTTTCTATAGACGAATGAAGCTTTTGGCACCTATTTTGTTTGCTGATACATCGGTAGAGCTGCGTGCACACAGCAAAGCACTTACTTGTTACCAGTGTTATTCCTACGGTGGCCCATAAGGGACATGGAGTCTGTTTTTCCATATTTTGATATTTCACTTACTGTTATCGTAACCTTTTGCAAATTAACACGATTTGTCATATATATATATAATAAGTAGATATTGAATCGTTGAAAAGTGAGGCGAAAATGTCAAAAACTAAAATGAAAATGTCAAAAACGAAAAGGGCAAAGAATAAAATGAAAATGTCAAAAACAAAAGCGAAAATGTAAAAAACTAAAATGAAAATACAGAAAACTATTTACACCCCGGTGATAATATTTCCACAGCGGTGAAAAGTATTTCCACCGCAGTGATAATATTTCCACCGCAGTGGGGATATTATCACCGCGGTGGAAATAGTTTTCTGTATTTTCATTTTAGTTTTTGACGTTTTAGTTTTTGTTTTTGACATTTTCATTTTAGTTTTTGACCTTTTCGTTTTTGTTTTTGACTTTTCCATTTTAGTTTTTGACATTTTCGCTTCACATTTCAGCGATTCAATATCTACTTATTATATATATATATGACAAATCGTGTTAATTTGCAAAAGGTTACGATAACAGTAAGTGAAATATCAAAATATGGAAAAAACAGACTCCATGTCCCTTATGGGCCACCGTAGGAATAACACTGGTAACAAGTAAGTGCTTTGCTGTGTGCACGCAGCTCTACCGATGTACTTGAAGTATATTTTCCATGTTTTCGGTTGTTTTTATACATGATTTATCACATATTTGTATGACATATCGTGTTAATTTGCAAAAGGTTACCATAAAAGTAAGTGAAATATCAAAATATTGAAAAACAGACTCCATGTCCCTTATTGGCCACCGTATATTCCCATGTTACATTATAGGTTCATAGTGGCATGGTCAGGGGGCGTGGTAGTTACATTATAGGTTCATTGTGGCATGGTCGGGGGTGGGTGGGGTAGTTACATTATAGGTTCATTGTGGCATGGTCAGGGGGCGTGGTAGTTACATTATAGGTTCATTGTGGCATGGTCGGGGGTGGGTGGGGTAGTTACATTATAGGTTCATTGTGGCATGGTCAGGGGTGGGTGGGGTAGTTACATTATAGGTTCATTGTGGCATGGTCAGGGGGCGTGGTAGTTACATTATAGGTTCATTGTGGCATGGTCGGGGGTGGGTGGGGTAGTTACATTATAGGTTCATAGTGGCATGGTCAGGGGGCGTGGTAGTTACATTATAGGTTCATTGTGGCATGGTCGGGGGTGGGTGGGGTAGTTACATTATAGGTTCATTGTGGCATGGTCGGGGGTGGGTGGGGTAGTTACATTATAGGTTCATTGTGGCATGGTCAGGGGGCGTGGTAGTTACATTATAGGTTCATTGTGGCATAGTCAGAGGTACAATTAACATAATATACCGGATCTTCAAGCGAACAATTGAGGAAATGTTATACGTGCGCATGCCTAGAATGTGAGAGAATAATTTCCATAATGTTTAATTACTCTTTCTTTGAGTATAGTATTGTTAATTAGAAAAATAATTAAGTTAAGATCTATCAAAAATAGAGTGCTGGTACGTAGTTCCAAAATGTATAATTCAGCAACCTAAACTGTTTTCAGTTTTTATTTTTTGCATTGTAACACAAGGAGGCCGAATGTGAAAAACGTCAACATGAAATATTACCGATACGACGTTAAGTGTTTTATTCACTCCCTCGCCCAATGTGAAAATGTGGCGTCACACCTTCAAGGGACATAACCTTGCAGATCCCACAGATGCTTGGATCCATTTGCCAGTACTTGTAGGAATAGATTTACCAATAAACAAGTACAACCAATGTCTTTGTCGCGATGTCAAGTTGTCTAGCTATGTCTGTTTCTTGTGTACACTATCTATTCCCGTATGTTTCATCATTTCACTTTGATCGCTGTTTTCAAGGGGACTGTATCTGAACGTCTGCGAGTCAACAATGTGTTGATCTAAATCAGTGAAGAGGTTGGATGGAGAACATGAAAGCTAGTCTTCAACCTCGGAAAATGGATGAAGCGGTTGTAAAATCCTTAAGAGAAAGCATCACGGTAATATTCATATAATTTTACACATTCCCTGTTACCATAACATTATTCCGATTTTCTCATATAGATTTGTATTGAAAAATTGGCGATCATATCTAAATTCTAATGCTTGACCAAGCGCAAACTTGAAGACAAAGATGTGTGGATTTCAACTTGTTTTATTCTTTCAATATGACTTTTCGGTAGAGATGATTGTACCTTTATCAAGCAAGTACTCAACTTTGTCTTCACATTTCCCACAGATATTCTTGACTGAACTTATCAGATACTTTCATAAACAGCATTAAACGCAACTCACTAATGGATATGAACAGATCTGGGCTAACATTATATATCGTAGCAAACTCATCTGGGGATTAGAGTGTTTGTAATTCAGTTACATATATGGCATAGTGGGGGATCATTTAGAAAATATGCATATATAATTCATTATATTCATTAGCCCATTACATATTACTGACTCCTTTTTCAATTTCATTCGTCATGTGCGAAAGTATTTTGCGATTAGTTTTTGAAACATCATCTACAACACTAGTAAAATGCTCAATTTGACATTCATGTGTTTTGACAAATTGATCAGCCGTAGCTGATTCTGTTCCTTGTTCTCAATAAACAGACTTTGTTGAAATGATTGAGTTTGAAAATCAAAGGTACCTGGTTGTCTGGTGTAAGTTGTCTTTTTCCCTCCAACCATTTCTAACATTTTCAGAGAGATTGTGTATTCCAACAAATACAAATATTATTTCCTAAGATGATAGTGTGACAACTAACTTCTAGTTTTTTTTCAGTTGATAGGTGAGCTGGGTATCCCATGAAAACAACAATGGCGTGTGTCCGTGTAAGTCGCTGTCGGTCATACCTGGTGGCTGCACTGATGGTGAACCTTGTGATACTTGTTTATCTGGCATTCATACAGCACACGCAATCTGAGACCGGCGCCGAGGTCAAGTGGGCTTCCCATCAGTCATTACATAATGAACAGCGGAGTGTCAATCAAGCTCATACATCAGTTGAATCTGACGTCACTGTCATCATCAGAGAATATGAGGAGTTTGAAAATGATCTGGTAAACTCAATTGTAAATATACAGAAAACCTTCAACAAAATTCCTGTTGTAGTCATTGGGGATAAGACTCCATACCCTCCCTTACAGACTGTAGATATTGTGAAACAGAGATTCCAGTTTGTTTCCCCTTCAGGTAATATCTGGCATAATATGTCCTCATCGGGACCAGAGTTTTTTATCAAAACAAAGTATGTGATGATTGTGCCAGACTCGACATCTATAACAGATGTGACACTATTCACTCAACTGGTGAAAATTCTAAATAATAATTCTGCCAAAATTTTAGCAGTTCCGTTTAAGAATTCCAATATATTCTGCAGTCCAGTTGTTGTGAACTTCAAAACATGGACACTGGAATATCAGCCTTCCAAACCCTCTGACAAAGCCTGCAACAACGTTCTGGGGGATCATGCTGTGTTTATGAAAACTGATAGCTACTTTCAGTTTTCTCAACCATACATGCGTCCACTGCCATTATCTTTGTATATACAAGGTGCAGTTAAACACTGGACAGCAGCAGTAGTGAAAACAGTCAACCTAACAACCCTGACCAACTTGTACCAGGCTGACCCTCGGCACCGCTGGCAACACAAACGCAATTACCAGGAGCGACAAGAACACATGTACCGACAACTAGGCTTTAAACTGGTCATTCAAGACAGTGGACGTAGACAGTGGTATGGCTGTACGAAGGACACTACAAGATGCTTTGACACAGTCATCAATGATATGCCAGAATATCTGTATGACAATCGCTGGACTCCTCCATGCTGTCTTCGAGCTTTACGAGAAACTGCCAAGCATGTGTTCAGTATACTGGATGCGTGTGAGGCCAGGTTTTGGTTGGAAGGGGGTAGCTTGTTAGGAGCTGCTCGAATGGGTGACATCATTCCCTGGGATTATGATGTGGATGTGGGGATTTATAGGGAAGACTTAAACAAATGTGATTATCTTCGACAGTGTATGCAGGGATCCTATGTTGATGAGAGTGGGTTTGTGTGGGAGAAAGCCATAGAAGGGGACTTCTACAGAGTGCAATACAGTGAGACTAACAGACTCCATGTGGATATTTTTCCATTTCATTCTAGGAATGGGACAATGACTAAATACACTTGGTTAAAATCTCACAGACAGGATACTGAATTTCCAGAACATTTCCTAAAACCGTTATCTAAAATCAAGTTTGCTGGTTTGGAAGTCAAGGCTCCGAATGATGTAAAGGGCTTTCTGGAATTTAAGTTTGGACCAGGTGTAATCGAGAATCCCAAATATCCAAATTCTCAAGACCCAGTATGATTCTAGTCTTTCACTTTAGTTTACTTCACATGTCATCAGCATTATCAAATAAAGTTTAATGAGTTTGTAATAGATTTTGCCTTCCTGTGGAAAGATTAATGAGATGCATCATTGCATCAAACATAGAAAAAGAAGTTTTTTTACAAAGAATTTTTTTTGTCATTGGTATGTATTAAGAATCAGTGAAGTGATAGCAGAGAGGTTGTTGTCCAAGTTCTATCATAACACAACAGCAATTGTAGTAATCCCCTTTTGATTACAGCTGGCAACAACCACACATAAATAAGGAACTATGGTTTCATAATTCTGTAGTAGTATACTTAACATGCATGTCTGTTGTCATCATTCCAGCCTGTTTTCCTTAGTTTCACAACATGACAAAAAGAAATTACATTGATATTAATTTTTTATTCAGTATTTGACTTAATAACAAGTTTAAACTCATTTATTAATGCATATATATAATTCAAACAAAGATGAAAACATGACCTTATCACAGTCAGCTGTACAAAATAATATACACATGAAAAACAGTCATCAACATTGATACTTCAACAAATGGCTAATGCTGGTCAATCCAGCACCATGGAAACATGGACATTTAAATATGGATGAACAGTTCAAATTAACTGTGGTCTCTCAGACAAGGATTCAATCCCCTGTCCCGATAGCTGCTTTTATATAAATTGAACTGTTGTTCACACTGTGGGATAAGTCATTAAGACTTCACATACATACATTTCAACAACATCCTTTTTATACTTGAACCAATAAATTTCAACTTCTTTAAAATATTTCAAATGTTATTTCCTTTAAAGTATGAATCTTTGTAGTTCTAACAGTAAATTAATCACATTTGTTTAACCGTGCACACTGTATGATTACTGTGGGGAACTTAATGGTAAGTCCAGTACTCTGTAATCCTTACAAGTGTTCCTATGGTGGATGAGTAGTTCCAGACAGGCCCTACAGCACAGTGGTTTATCCATGTAGGTAATACTGATATCCTCCTGACAGTCGCTGGTTTAATTTGAGACACTAGGCTCGGTAGGTTCTCGCACCATGGATAATATCTTATCCAGCTTGGCGATCTCGAACTGCGTCCTCTGAGCAGCATCCATCGGGGGAGCCCCCTTCTTCTCCTGAAACGCACAAAGATGCATAAGAAAAGGTATGGCACACACCACAACATCTGTAAGTGATTAAGCCCAATATCACAAGATCACTGAGTGAATGAAAAGTGTCTTATTCCTGTTCCTGTTTGTTTGTTGTTTAACGCCAAACTCAGCAATATTCCAGCTATGTTACGGCGGTCTGTAAATAATCAAGTCTGGACCAGACAATCCAGTGATTGACATCATGAGCATCGATCCATGCAATAGGGATACGATGACATGCTTCAACCAAGTCAGCGAGCCTGACCATCCATTCCCATTAGTCGCCTCTTACGACAAGCATTGTCGCCTTTTACGGCAAGCGAGGGTTGCTGAATCCTGTTTCTGTACCATTCCAGCAACATCAGAGGGACACCAGAAATGGATTTCACACTCTTTGTATCCTTATCGGCAATCAAACCTGATCTACAGTATGACAAGCAAATACTTAAACTACTGCACTATCCCACTCTCCCACAAGCGTAACATACTAAATAAAATGAAATGAAACGGAGACCAGATGGCTAAAGTGGCTGATCGGGAGAGCAGACACTACTTGGTTGAGTGACTATCTCCTAAGGTCTGGCTGGATCAGTATGAATTCATGCCCAAATGATGACATGCCCTTTGCCAAATATAAAATCCCATCCCAAAGCAAAGAACATTACCAAAATGCCACATTTTAATATGTAAGACCATATGTATGACTGATATATATGCTATATATTTCCAAAAGATTAAAAACTGTCACTGTTTAATAAAAACATTGATACCAAGGGTTCTGATTAATATGTTTTACATTGTAGCACAATGACACATCTATTAGACTGACATGGGCATTAGGTTGAAGTAGTGTCTACTTGATGACTTGGAAACTAATCACGCATGATTCAGGAAGCAACTGACGACATACCTTTGGCATCTTCTTCAAGTTTGGTGACAATTTTAGACTTGTGACATTCCCCCTGAAACAAGACATGGTGACAATCAGAATGGTTACACTTGTGTCTAGACACATGGAAAACTTCATATTTGGAAAGTTATCTGTGAAGTACAGTACTTTTAAAAGCAGTGAGATTAGTTCAACTCCAACTAACTGACCTGTCATCTCCAACAACTAACATGGGATACACAGGGTTGAACTCTATATGGGTCAGCTTTGTCTTCTTTTTCTGAGCAACCATCTGCTCACAAAGTGGCTCGTACTTGTTTACATTCAGATCGTACACATACACCTGAAACAAATGCAGTCCATATAACCAATCGATCAGTTTTATACACAAGAACCAAACCATAGTGTCACTTTCATTGAGATTACTCAAAACACTTATAAACCTTACTTTATTCTAAACATTGAAATAATTGCATAATTAAAGCATCATTGGTGTGAATCTTTGTATATATTTATAAGTATTTGAATATATAAAGTGCAGGGTGCCATTGTACAAAACAACCTTAGCACTATGACTGTCGTAAGTCTATGTTAAGGTATGGGAGTTATGATCACCTTAGCGCTAAGATCGCTTAGTACAACGGCACCCTGTTCAATATATTTTACACCTTAACTAATGATACTTGAACAAACATGATACATAGTCCGCATCAGTAATAGAATCTACGGTAATAACCAAATAAATTGTCGATATTTGAAACGCCAGGGTAAAGGGATTTTCTTAAGAACTCTTTACAGATAATTAAGGGATGACACTTTTCTGAAATCTGCAGAATTACTGTAGAATGTTAAAAAGTGCTTGACTGCAAAGCCCAGGTAGTAACTAAGGTTGTGCTGTACCTTCCCATCAGCTGTGACAGCTGCAAACACAGTTGAGGAGTAGGGTGCCCATGCAACATCACCGACAGAGTTGTTCAGATCGAAGGAGAACAGTGGTTTCCTGCAATACAAGTCATACATGTAATCTACCACTTCCATAGGATAGGATTTTTCTGTGGCGATATGTTTACGCACCATGTCTATTCTCAAATCATGAAGTCTGAAGTCTCTTATTGAAAAACTGATGTCTACACTGCAATCAGATGTTACATAAGGGTATGTGAGTTTCTTTTATGCCAGTCAGCAGTATTCCAGCTGTATCACGGCTGCCTGTCTAAACGTCTGGGACAGGCTAATCAGTGGATGAAAGGAAAAGTAACATCGTTACAACGGAGTACAATGAAACACTCATCCATGTCACACACTGGAACCATCTGATCATGTTGTTTCACCTGACTGAAAGTTGTTTGTACACATCTTGGTACTTACAAAAAGCATGGGGAACTGGTAACCAATTCTGTCCTGAAATCCCCACGAATATTACTAAGGCTAAAAATCCCAACAAACCTTGCATTGCAGGGGTAGGGGAGGTCTAATGGTTAAACTCGCTCATCACATTTTGATTCCCTACATGGGTACAATGTATTGAGATCATTTGTGTCCCCCTTTTATGCAATTGCTGATATATTGCTAAAACTGGCTTAAAACACCCATTTAATCACTCCTTCAAGGCATTGCAATTTCAAATGTAATTCAAACGAACAGATCAAGGTAAATTATTGCGATCATCATCGACATACCTTGACGCCACCTCGGAACCATCTGCGTTCTTGTCCACCTTGCCACCCATCTCCCAGATCTTGACATTCCAGTCGGCACTACATGTGATGTAGATCTTTGGATGGTAGTGGTTCCATGACACCTTGTACACGGCCATGTTGTGGGCATCAATGGAGTCAATGAAGTGGCTTGTGTAGGCTTTAGAACATACATGGACCTTGCCCTCCTCTGTGCCCACCAGGAACAGGTAGTTCTTCTGCTTGTGGAAGTCAAATGCTGTGCCACAACCTGAACCACAATAGCAACATTGTGTACCCATAGTAGAAGTAGAGTTGATTGAAAACAGAATTACTTTATCCCTTTCAAAGGCAATGCAAACATTTCACCATATTAAAAAAACGAACATTTTCAGATTGGTTTAATTAAACGATGGGCTCTCTTTTAAACATGTACATAGTGTATATATATTCTTTGAGATACAAATATGCACTGGTTTGTCATCACTTTCCACCTTTCTTTATGTATTTTCTAGTGCTGCCCTCAGCAATATCCCAGCTATATGATGGCAGAATGATGACACTCTTTTAACCAAGTCACTGAGTCTGATCACCCGAGCCATTAAGCTGCCTCTTGCAACCAGCACAGGTCGATGGGGGAACCAATTGTAATCCAGAATCCACACAGTAAACATGCAGGTCAATTACCAATAAAGAATAAAGAGTGACGTCAGTGACACAGATCATCAATGAGTGTATCAGTAGTCCTACAAAGATGGTGGTGTGGAAGTTGCTCGTGTTACCTACCCACGGTGGGCACCTTGATACCATCTGGCCCCTCTGCAGGGTCCTCCGGAAGGGTGAGTGTGATGACGTCTTGATACACCATCTCATTCTAAAACATTTAGAACCCCATTATACATACATAGCAGGAACTATTGAAACTATTATGGTCTTACCCAATTGATAATTTGTAGAACTGATTAAAAAAGAATTCTGAAAAGTTACCAAGCACCAGACAAATTACCTTCACTATAGTCCAGTGTACAATTCTTCCATCTGATGATATGGAGTAGAAGTTCATGTTGTTGTCCGTGTCATCTTTCTGCCAGCGCACCTGAAAACATCACACATTGTCACTCCAGTTGTCAAGTCTGGAAATCAGTTTAGCAGTCAAAATATATACTGGTACCTTCTAATTAATATACTTAATCCTTGACATGCTATAACTCACAAATTAATGTCTTCACATCATCATGTGATCAGATAAAGCATGACACCATCTAAGAATGGATAACGTCTTTCAGTACCACAAGCAACAAACAAGCTTGAGAGAATTTAAAAAATATAAATTGTAAACAATGTAAGGTAGTTATTGTGAACATCTACCATAGGATACAAATATGTTAAAAGTGTCCATTGTTGTAATGTGCTAAGAACATATTTCTATAGTTTAGCTCACAGCTGTGCAATCAATTTTCCATGCAAATTCTGGTACCAACCTGCCACACTGGGTCTGTGTGTTTGCCATTCTTTGCTGTGCATCTATGAACTGGGCCATCCTTTTTCTCTACTACATTGAAGACAGCCACGCTGCCATCATAGAATCCAGCAGCCACCTGGTAGGGGTGTTCCGGGTGCACATCCAGACACATCACCCCGCTGTCTGTCTCAAACACAGTCTCAGGGTACGACGGGTTCTTCAGGGAAGAAAACAGGATCATTCCATTGCCCTGTTTCATGAAATCATCTGGAAGAAGCCAATGTCAAAATCATGAAATTAGATCAGAGTCATGTTATTATGAAGTGAGTTAAAAAGGTTTTAAGCCACTGACAGGAATACTTCAAACATATCAGATGGTCAGGGTAGATAGCATTGTTTCAGTACACTGTTACAGTGCAGACCAGGTCGTGGCTGACTGCTCCCATCGAAGTACTTCAAGAACTTCAGTTTCTTGCTTTAAGTCCTTGTCCCTTGAAGTTTATATTGATGTGTTTGGTTTGTGATCATAATCTCATGATCCATCTATTAATAGCCACCCTCACCATATGGTCATTCATCTTCCTGAGGCAAGGGAGTTAACTGACTGTAAAAGTCAACTTTCCAATGTTGCCGAACTAGGCTTGAATTCTGGACATTTTGGAGCCTGTGCATAGTCTAACCAAAATCGCTCAACGAACTAGACATCCGGTTTGTAAACAACATGGATTTCAACATGCAGATTTTGATCGACTGCAGGATTTGCAAAGCATGTGTACTGTCAACTGGGCATCAACAGATCTTTTCATGTTTTCAATCAAGGTGCTCAAATGATGTGATGCACTTCGCGAGGTAAGGCCCATTTTTTTACAATATTATAGATCTTGATTATTGATCAGATCGACTTGACCTGCACCACCATTTAGTTTGAAGCAAATGCAAGTGATGTGAGAGGTGGAATGTGATTGGTCAATAGAAGGGACATAACTCATAAAAGCCACTGTATGGTGGTGGCACTCATAATGATCGAGCCCAGAAATTCCAGTGTAGTTCGGCATGGGTGGAAACTGGACCTTTGTAGTCAGTTAACACCCTTGCCTTGGTAAGATGATGGTCATATGACACTAAAGAGTGCTTGATAACTATCTCAAAATTGATCTGACAAGACTTGCAGTTAACTGTATTATTTCATAACTTACAAAATATAGGTACTACTCCGCTGAACAGAGCTGCATGATTTTCACATTTCATATTCCAATACAATACTCGAGAAACACTAACATGATCCATAGGAAGCAGCAAACAAGTCCTTGTACTTGGGGTTCCAGCAGAGAGATGTGACAGCCAGCTTCTTGGCCTTCTCGTGGGAGAACTTCCACAGTGGAAGCAGAGTACCCTCCTGTTCTCGGTACTCATCTGACGTGTCATCAAAGTACTTGAAATCTGTAACAGCAACACAATGACATGAGAACTGTTACACTGGACCTTGATCTCCATGCATTTGTTGAGGACTATTTCAAAATGCACACACATATTGGCTGGGTCTATTTCAAAATGCAAACTTAACCAAAATGATTCTCAAGGCATACTGTGATGAAGGTTATTCGTTGGGGCTTCAACAAGGTCACACTTCAACAAGGGTAGCATGGTCCCAGTTGTGATTTATAAATGGGTTACATTACCTTGAGCAATGTCATCGTAGGTATTCTGGTTGACCATTCTCTCCACAATCTTCGCAGCACGTGCCACCCGCGAAATGTCATCACTCTGTCAAACGCAAGTATTTCTTTCAGTTATCTTAAAAAACATTGAAAAACCTGATATTTCTTATGTTAAAACTGATGCTTGCATAAATATCAAAGAGAAAAAAAAATTCACAAAGCTGAATATCATGGAAAACACATGTGAGTGATCAGGAACATTTTCCAAACACACACTCTCAATTAACACGGCTAGACTAGAGTAGAATAGTACACTAACCTGAGTTTCTGTAATGGTTAGTTTCTTCCTCGTCTTCTCCTCCTCCTTTCTCCCATGCACAACCTTCTTCTCTTTGTTCTTCTCCTGTAAGCATAGCATCAGAGTCAGAATACCTTAAATTCTAATTAGCAGCTTTTTACTAAATACAACACAGGGAACTACCTGACATGGGCTGTTATCAGTACAATCACAGTAAAATCAGATCTTTTGCTCAGGAAAACTTCCTAATCAGCTAATCAGTCTTGAGGCTTCTAAATTCTCAGTATGAATTAGCGAATCATTCAGACAAGCATGTCTGATTTCTATATCTCAAAATATAATATAATCATGATCCAATTTTTATAAACATTAAGCCATGCTATTTTATTGATGTTTTATACATCCTGTCCTTTGTGAGCAAAAGGGAATACTATAAAGGGCTACTTTATGTTCTGAGGCGGTTTCTGTTTGGTTAAAGTTACCAAATGGAGGTGATAAAGAAATAGAGTTGAATCATTTCAGAAAGCTGACATCTGATTGGATCAAAAACCCATGCATGCTTCGTTCAGCTTGGGTAGTCAAAGTTCCTCACTGTTCACCTGGGTCAGTGGGGTAGCCTAGTGGTTAAAGTGTTCGCTCGTCACACCATAGACCCAGGCTCGATTCCCCAAATGGGTACAATGAGTGAAGCCCATTTCTGGTGTGCCCCGCCATGATACTGCTGGAATATTGCTAAAAGCGGCGTAAAACAATACTCACTCACTGTTCAGCTGACAAATCTTCACACAGAAAGGTATCGTGTCAGAGTAAAAGATCCGATTTTAATGAGATAGTTTTACAGTAAGAACATTTACAAGAGTATTTTCCTGGTACTCACCTGTTTCTCAAAGTCCTCCTGGTATGCATCATAGATCTCCCACTGTGTGACGTTGGAGGAGAAGGTGACGCGAGGTGGAGGCTCAGTTGCTGTTCCCCGCTCCTGCATCACAGACACACATTACATCTAACAATCTTTTCCACTTGATTCACTTAACTTTGACTGTCAATGAGCCGTCAATACCAGAATTACCAGGTCTATTCTGCCATATAATCCCCATGTGGTCTTGAAACTATGTTTTACTTTTTCAATATATATCAAAAGTGCCACCAGGCTTATCTAAAATAGACTAAACAGTAGATTAATTTTACACTAAAGATCAGAACAATCCAGTGATGTTGAGATAAAACTTTCTGCATTAAAATGAAACCCATCTGGGGAAGTTACTTGTCCTGCACTCACCCTGTATGGGTTGTTGTAGGTTTGGGAAGCACGCTCACTGTAGTTAAACTGATTGGTCAGCTTCTTATCTCCACTAGATGGCGCTGCCTCTTCTGCACCGTCATCCTTACCCTGAAAGATTGATAGGCTTGGTTGGTATATTTGGCTTACTTGATATCAAACTAAAAGTCTTTACATTATTACATTAAAACAAATTGAAAAACATGTTCATTGGAAACCCTTATACGTATTCATCACAATACAAACTGTCCTGTCTTAGCTTTGATTCCATGATAAGTAACATTCTGACAAAAGGACAGGTGTCCAAATGACCCCAATTAGTAAAGAATATCTCTTTCTAAAAACCTTACAAACAGAAAACAATAACAAAGACAGGACAATTTACTGTCTATTCACATACAATCATATGGTTGTATAAAAAACTTCTTAAATTACAAAAAATATAATCATTTGCAGGTTTTCAAAACACCTGACATCGCCCAGACAAGAAATCCGATTTGGCATTGTGTATCAGTGCAGCCAGGAAAAAACCCAGCAAGCCTGGTACATGTTGTGGGTCCACCTACCTTGTGATCATCCTCTCCCTCCCCCTCTGCAGCCTGGGCGGCATCCCCTCCCTCACTGACCGCCTGCTCACTGGCAGCTGCACACAAGAAACACACATATATTAGTCTTAAATTCTCTATTTCTTGTCACTGTCAGACTTAGAAAGATATGCTTTTACATGATGATCTGAAAAATCTTGTTTACATGAAATCTATATATAGTCATCTTCATATCTGGTCCTTCGAGCTGCGGAGAAAACTGTGCTTTAGTTCAGTAGTTCAGGTTATATATTTGCTTTGGAAAACACATACAAAAATAATGATTAAATTTAATCCCTAGAATAAAATGTTGTAGGCATGAAGCTTTGATCAGTGAAACGGAAACTTATGCTTTACAAAATGGATATAAATTACCATCACAAATGAGGTAACCTGATGTCAACTATATTGATTTTATTACTATTACAGGGCTGTTAGAGATCACACATAAAGCTTGTGTGTGGCTATGTCTATTCAGCAGTCTGAATTAGTGTAGCTTCGCCATTACTTTTACAAGCGACCACTACATTGCTCAGCATAACAATTGGCATGAAATAAATCAAACTATGTAGCATCTTGCCACCCTGAATGGGGTGGGTTCTACATGTATATTACATAGGCCTGCAAAGTGTATTGAGACCTTGTGACCAGACCTAGTGGTCAACAGTGCAAACATCATTCTGTATCATGTGGTCAACCTGGTCACACCTGAGAGTTGGTTTTAGCATGAGGTCATCCTCTTTCAACAAACATTCTTCTCTTCACACTTGTCAGCATTAGTGCCAACCTAATACATATGAAAACTTTTCAACATTCACAAATATAATGAAACACGTAGGAATACTATCAAAAGTGAGCATTTTCTACCTTAATATGGTGCAGATGGCAAAGTCCTAATGATCTACCTGCAATTCTTCTTTAGATCCCTTCTTAACACAAATTCTTAAGAAACAATTTAATCTAGGACCCTTATGGGGCTACTCCACGGACCATCATGGTCAGCTTTGAACAGTGTCCTAGCAGGACTACCGGTAGTCGCTGGTGTGTCTAAGTGTATGATCTAACACTATAAACATAATACTGGTGATTTAAGCTGCAGACCTTTACCAACTATAGTTAAACAAAAGCAAAAAGTCTAAAATGCATGTGACATTGTCTCTTGATCTTAGAGTCATGAACAGCATCTCTGCAATTTAACCATGCTACTTCTCACAGCCCACAGACATGTTGGCCAATGGTGATGTTGAGAGAAGACTTAGCTAAGGCTCTATCTAGGTAAAGCTGCTTCACCGGTGTCGCAATGCACACTTCTACAACTCATGGCTTTGTCATGAGCAACGTTGGTGAACTTAACCATGCAACTTCTACAATACTTGACCAGTTACGTCTACCTCATTCTATAAAACGGTTCTTGTGATGAAGTTGCTGAACTTCATCTTCTATTGTCTAACAAAAGCAAAATGGCGCTAACTCATGTGTTGGGCTCATCTGCAAGAACACCAAAAGGTTCTTGTACAATGAATATCATGCAGAATTTCAGCACTAAAATAAAAGAAAGTTCCTCTGCTATCTCTGCTTAAACTCACAGATTTCTTCAGGTTCCACCTCAGTTTCAGTTTCTGCAATTCAAACTAGAAGGATTGATACCTCATTGGGGAGGGTTTACAGGTACCTCTATCTATGAGTCACAGATAGACCGACTATTAACCTCAAATAATAGACCAACACTAACTATATTGACCTTTCTGTATGAAAAAAACCCTACAACTTTGAACTCATAATCCAACTGTTAGCCCTATGTATCTTCTTACTATAAGGTGTATCATATATTGTATTCTTGTACTATGCCTAAAATAAAATATCACATCAAAATATTCCAAGAGCTGTTATGTGGAATATCCTCCAAGAGAAATAGTACTCTGTGCTGATCCATATTGTTTCAGCTCTCAGAAAACTACTTTGTGTTCGACAAGCCTACAGTTTAAAGGTAAAATCTATCAAAACTACCATGAAAGCTTTCACTGACAAATCTATATCAACTGCCTTGTCAGATGTTGAATACAAGCGAACTATAAAAGATGGCAGTACACTGCCACTATACAGACACTAGTTGTATACAATGTCAGCAAGAGCTGAAGAATGTCTGATTGTTATACCAGCATGCACCTGTGCTCACAGTGTTTGCATTCAGCTGTTGGTGTGCATTCGCAAAGATCAGAATGTGATTTATATGTAATGAGGTCACAGGTTTCCATTCAATTATGCACAGACATTAAACAACAGTAGCTGTTTGCAGCAGGTGTGTGCCAAGTGTTGATGTGATATCAGTGTATGTGTCAAGTATGTATTGCTTAGTTCTCTGCAATATTGATTCTATATAGTGGCCTGTAAGTAATAGAGTCTTGCCCCGACAAACCAGTGGTTGATATTATCAGCATCCCATGGCATCTGGGAACAGCTACATGTAAACAGCCAAGTCACCAAACCCACAATATGTTTAGTCACCTTATTAAAAAGGTTGCTGGGGACCTATTCTTACCAAGAGTCTTGATGTGGGTGCATCAAAAAGCACAGAAATAATCTGTATAATCACAGTCAATGCTGTGAATACTCAGTTTAAGTAAGCATTGATATCATGAATACCATAATTTGTAAATACATCCTTAAATGAAGTCAAGTTTGGCTCAGTCTTATAAGGCATCACAATTTTCTGTGCAATGTTATGTCCCTTATCTGTGCCAGGATCCACTGTTTGTAGGTTTCAAATCAGATTTATCCTTATTGTGATCGTTGGGCATATGGAAAGCAGTACCATAGCAGACTGATGTCAATTTCAAAGGGTACTGAGACTGGAAACAAGCCAGAGATCAATAGTGTTATCTACGGTGGATACATTTGACACTATTCAAGGACTATCCATACCCAGTCACCATTTTGCCCACCCAACCCTCATTTACTATCAACTGTAATGAGAATCATAGTGTAGTCATTTAATAATGTATATGTAGTGAGTGTCATGTATGTATATTGATCAGGTCGCAGTAAATGCATTGGTCTTTCTACTTTGAATGGTAGCCTTGCACTGTAATTACCAGTACAATCACAGTGCACAGTGCTGTGTGCAGATGTGTCATTCTGCAGTAGTGCTGTGAGTTGGGTATTACATCGCATCTTCACGAGGCAAGGAAGTTAACCAACTACAAAAGTCCAGTTTCCACCCTAGCCAAACTAGGCGGGAATTATGGAGTTATATTTTGGCTGGAATAACTGGTCTATTCATAGTCCAATCAAATATGCGTAACGAAATCAACATCCGGTTCGTCGATTGCAGGATTTGCAAGGCATGTGTACCGTCAACTAAGCATCAACAGATACTTTACAAATCATTTCATGTTTTTAATCAATGTGCTCATGTGATTTGATGCACTTTTCGAAGTTAGACCCGTTTTGTTACAATATAAATCTTCACTGAGCGCCGCCATTTTGTTAAAACCAAATGCAAGTGATATCAGAGGTTGAATCTGATTGGTCAATAGGAGGGACATAGAAGTGACATAACTCGTAATAGCCACTAGTGGCACTTCAATCGAACCCAAAAATTCCGGCCTAGTTTGGGAAGGGTGGAAACTGGACTTTTATAGTCAGTTAACTCCCTTGCCTCGGGAAGATGATTACATTGCTGCCAATCTCAATTATATCACAGCGTGTCAGCTGATGTGGAAGGAATGCCTGAAGTGTTGCAGGTCATAGATGTTTACCAATTTGGTGAAATCCAACAGCATCATAAATCTGGTCAAATCTGAGATTCAAAACCACAATTATTGGGTCTGGCACACCAAAGAACAAAATTTGGGCAGTGCATGTGTCAGTGTCAGAACGAACATGTCATCCTGCACTCAAATGTAACAACTGTGCAGCATGTGCCTGTGTGGAGATGGAGTTTGTGCAGTGCATGTGTCAGCGTCAGAACGACGTTCATCCTGCACTCTAATCTATTAAACAACTGTGCAGCATGTGCCTGTGTGGAGATGGAGTTTGTGCAGTGCATGTGTCAGCGTCAGAACGACATGCATCCTGCACTCAAATCTATTAAACAACTGTGCAGCGTGTGCCTGTGTGGAGATGGAGTTTGTGCAGTGCATGTGTCAGCGTCAGAACAAACGTGCCACCCTGCACTCTAATCTATTAAACAATTGTGCAGTGTGGAGTATCACCTGATACAGCCCCTGCACGCTGCGATGTTGCCTGCTGCTGTTGTACATCATCTTCTGTTGCTGCTTGAAAAAGGTTACCACAGACAATATTTACAAGGGCTGTTAGGCAAAAGTACAATGCCATATTTACATCTATCACTTATCATCTATCACTAAAACAATCAGAATTTGTCATTTAAAGCACAGTTTATGATCAAGAGCTCCAGTGAGTCGCACTGAAATGTACTTGATCTTTGTATTAATCATTGACCTTCTGGTATGGTAATCATATTTTCTTATTGTTCAGCATGTACAACCACAACAAACTGCACAATATACATGCAATAACAACATTTAACCCCGCAGTAATGGTGACAAATGGCCAATGTGGCTAACAAGATTGAGCAAATTTGAAGTTAGGATGGCAGGTATCAAAATCTGATTATCAATATTTTATTACTTCATCAAACTCAAGACATGCTTAAAAAATCAAATCCATCAGGCTCTTTAGCTCACCTGACATTTGCAGGTAATTTCTAACATTTTAAAGGTCACAATCAAAAGGTCACCAAGAAACATTTATAACAGATGTTTCATTCCAACACACACAGCATGAGTATTTCAGATTTTGATTCTCGATTTTGGAATTAAACTTTTGACTCAGGTGAGCTAAAAACATTGAAATAAAAAGGAAAGTATCCACACATCTGCTCTCATTCATAATTGTTCATAGTGGAATGAATTAAATCCAATGACAGTATATACACAAAGCCTGTACGTACTATCATGAACACCTGGACTGTAGTGAATCATGACCATATCTCATTATCATACAATTACAATACAAAATCATCAGAGTGCATATTTTTTAAGGGCAGAGAAATGTGCATACATACAGAATTTGCCCACAATTTAGAGCTGGCAGTACGACCCAAAAACCCTGACTGTAATTAAAGCTGAACCAACCATCTGTTGTCAATAAGTTGAGACTGACAAACTACCTTCTATGTGTCTAGCATACAGCCTTGTAAATTTACATTTAAAACATGAAGTGTGAATATCATATTTGCTGTAAAAAACATCCCGGGGGCTTAGAAAATTGACAAAGGGGGCACTTATTAAAACCACAAACAAGTCAAATTGGTTGTCAGTGATCGAGCAGTTGTGAACAAACTAAGTCTAAAGATTGGTAAAACCAACATCTTTCGATAATAGTTTTGAGGCAATTAAATACCTCTTCTAAGCTGCTGTATTTTGTTTTAAATCCTTAAATTAAAAAAGGTAATATGAACTGTTATGTAAATTTTGTCTTAGTTGAGGGTGCTTACATATACAAAGAAGCAGGGCGCTTAATACCACGAGTACAGTTTAACAATATACCATCCTATTTGTCATTTAAGGTAAAATTGTATTATTTGATAAACAATAAGCTACATAGAATTGCTGCTATAATTAAGTATTTATAACATTATCCAGTTGGAACATGTATGCTGTGGCCAGAGACTTGAAATGTTAACATTTTTGTATTGCATCCAAATTAACGGTGACTTCACAATTTGATCAGAAGTGATGGCACTGCCAGACAGTTAGGTACTGAAGCAGACATACGGTAATTCCCAGATGCCCCACAACACTTATCTCAGCTGATGCAATCCAAAGTCAGTTTCAATCTGTATCAATACACATATTTTCATAAAGTTGTTCATTCATGTGGGGCTCTGTTCCACAAAACTAACGCCACACTCAGCACTATTCCACCAGAGTGACGGCAGCCTGTAAATAATCAAGTCTGGACCATACAATCCAGTGATTGATATGAAATAAGTCACCTATCCTATCTTATGTGTGATGTTGAATTGCAAATTTGACACCAAGAAGGGATTTCAAAATTACAATAGAGTATTGTGTTACACATTGTTTTGTGAACAATCAGAGGCGGATACAGCTTTTTTGAAAAGGGGGGTGCACAACTAAGATCTATTTATTGTCTTTGGTGGTAATTTATACAGAAATAAAGATTTTTTTCGAAATAAAAAGGGGGGGGTGCGCACCCCTGCACCCCCCCCTCTGTATCCGCCCATGACAATATGTATGGATTCATAGTGTATCGTGATTTCAGTGCATCATTCCAGTCCAACTAGATGATGACCACACGTTGACAATGCCAACATCCTGCTAAGATACCTACCCTCTGGGATGCCCATACGGTCCCTCTGGCGTCTGGCTTCATCTGAATCTCTGTGCAGCATGTTACCATCCAGAGCAAAATGGACAGCCAGCTGGTCAACACTGGACGTCTGTTTGTACTGCTTCTCCTAAGAACCAGATATACTTCACGATAGAATTGGTTTTTTTTAACGTTTCTTATATAATCGAGTCTGGACCAGAATATCAATGTTTAATATTGTGAGCAACCATCCACTGTGTCAAGGTATGATAATACTAGGGCTGGGACGAGTCCTGATTTACTACCTGGGGACCCACACCCCTATTACCCAACCCTACCCGTGCACCCGCTGTTGGTTTCAAGAGATAGGTACAAAATGTCTGATTGGGAATAGTCACTTGACTAAGGCTTGTGTGCAATATATGACAATACATTTTGAAAAACAGTTGTAATAGAACACCATCACTGGTGTTGATCATTAACCCCCAAGTACAATAACCGTTTCAAATACATAAACCTCAGAGATTTTTAGTTAAAAAACATTTTGGAAATACACAACCATCCCCAATTCATGGACAATAGTTGTTTAAAGGTGACAAAAGAATTAATGGTCTCATATTATGAATCATCAGAAAGTATGTGTTTTCAGTGAGAGTTCAATGCTTCAATAAGCTATATTACAGCAATATCATTGCAGCCTGTAAATAAACAAGTCTGGACCAGACTAACCAGCGATGATCCTTGCTATCAGAGTACAAGGTCAGGTATAATGTCTATGTAGTATTATATCTTGGAAATATTCAGGTTTTTTTGTATTGTTACAGGATCCGTTTCCAAGATACATAATACACTGATGATACAAGTGTGTATTTACCTTGAAGCTGTAGCGCACTATGTTCTGTGGCGCATGGGGGTTGTTGGCGGTCAGGATCCTCGTGAACTCTTCTTTCAGTTCCTAAAGAAAGTTATTACATAATCTTCATTCCATGCATATTCTAATTTTAATAATCACAATGTCATACTAAGTTCATAATGATTCGGAATGTCTTGACGTCAACACCTTTTCTACAAACAGATAAATTGGGAACAAAACCTAACTCCTAAAGATATTTTATGTACCCTAAAGCTGTTAACATTCTGATTTATTTATCATTTAATCAAACAGACATCTTGATGCTGACATGTAAAATAACTTCAAAATTGACATTGATGAGATATGTATCAGTTAAAGAAACATGAATGAATTCTTACAACTTGACATTGATGAGACGTATGTATCACTTAACGAAACAAGAATGTTTTCTTACAACTTGACATTGATTAGACGAATGTATATAGTAAAAGAAGCAAAAACGGATACTTACAACTTCTGAAAGGTCCAGCTGATCTTCAGGCTTCACCAGAGTCCGTTGCTGCTCAAAGAGAAGCACAAATGTCAACTCAGCATTGGAAATACACATCCCACGTACATTCCACCTCAGTCTGAGCTGAATAATTTAACACATCAGGAGTTGCAGCAGTCGCTGCCTTTACCAAACTGTAAGCTGAGATGGTTTGTAGATTCAGCTGTGTTCTGACTTTCAGATGACAGGAATATGAGCTGAGTATAATTTAATACCAAAGTTGGAAGATGCTTACTGATTGAAATACTGATTGACTTACCTGAGTCCAATCTTCAGCATCAGTACCATCGCCCATGTCTGTCATGTCATCACCCTCCTGAAATATACATCAATACATGACACACAGGCTCATGGGAATCCTCACAGAAATACTGGTACAGACAACATCTACAACATGCATTTGCCACACATCATATTAGACATTATATCTTACATCATTAATTCAAAATTGACTTGAATAAAATAGAAGATATTTTTTAAAGGCTTTATGTACCGTCACAATAAATTAACCACTACAATTTTATTAATAACACTACTATTAATGAATCGGGAAGGTGTCTATGTTTCAATAGTATAAAATAAAGCAACCTATTGGACATTCACTACAAAAGAAATAATTTAATAATATATATGTAAGAATCAGATCTGTGGTAGGATTTGTGTAAGGGAAATGTCCGAGTAACTCTCCATTCCTTAAAAATAATGGAGCAGAGGTCCCGCAGGGTTACAAGAATTAGGAATAATAGTTTAACGATGATCTTAGTGATGTTCAAGAAACATCACAGCAGGGGCCACCAGAAACAGGCCTTACACATTGTACCCATTGTGGAATCTGTGTGACAAGCACACGTGTTAACCACTAGGATACCCCACCACCCCATGGCATGGGTGTATGACATCATCTTGGGAATTATGCATATAACTGACTTGGTATACAAATATGAGATAGCTATGCGATAAATCGCAAAGAGCAATGAAGAACAAAACATGGTTTATTTCCTGATAAAACATTGTTCTATCATGATGTTATTTCTGGAGATTTGAATATGCGCTTGCAACTTGGGGACGTCACTTATTGGATGACGTTAATTTTAAGAGGGAAGAGTCTAGTGAGTTGTTCCCCGTAGATGTAGCTGGGTAACACAGATAAACGCAGTGACCGAACGATCGCATCCAAATGTAGGAGAGATATGACAATCGGTATTAGGAGAAAAGGTACAAATAATCAACATGAGAAATGTGAGAATATGCGGGAAATACCACATTTATAACCCACATGTTCATAAAATTTACTTGTCCAACATTGCTGAGGTCGGATTCAATTTAGCGAGTAATCATTATCAAAATTAAGGTAGCTATTTTTAAAGTTTGTACATTTTATAAACATCCTTAAACAGGCTGTACCCCTCCTTGTTTATTCCTCCTGCAGTGTTTTATTGTATGATAAACAACTCCTACTTGTTTATTTCTTAAACAACTGTTATGAATTAGACAGTCTGTAACAGAATAGAAACCTGTCAGAGATCTGAGTCCTATATATACCAGTATATGCATTGTCACTAAAACAAAATAAATTTAGTGGGACAATAAATTCCAAAGCGGTTTATTTTCAACAAGCAACCAGTTACATATACATATATATATATATATAACCAAGTAAGTATAACCAACACTCTGTTTGTAAGATGAAAGTAGTAACCCTTCCTACATTTAAGTTTATTTCTCAACACATGTATCAATAATGCACTTGAATGAGACCAAACTTCTTAGATATCTATGATCTTATAAATGTGAAACTGCAACTGCATGGAAAAAAATATATATCATGAAATGAGAAAGCATCAACATACAAAATGTTTGAAGTGTTAACAGCAAATGCAAAGGGCTAGTGTCTTCATCTCAGGACGTGGACCTCGTATTAACTCTTTCTACTTACTTTCTACATTTATATTATTTCTGAAAAAAGTAAAGACACTAGCCATTTATTAATGAACAGCAAAAAGGTTTTAGAAACTTGTGCATAAAGTTAGCCTCCAACCAGAAGAAAAAGATCAACAATGCCCCTTTTTTCACAACTTCCTTGGACCACTACACAAAGCAATACCTACTTAAAATGGTCATAAAATTAATCCAAACAGGTTTCATGAAATTGTCTAAACAAAATTTGAAATCAAAATTTATTATTTTAGAAAAAGGAAGGAAAAAAGATATTCTGTCACCAGTTTAGTCATATTACCGTATTCGACGTAATAAGCGCCCCGCTCTAATAAGCGCCCACGGCGATATTTGCTAATATATTGACTAGTAAACAATCCCAATTAGCACCCCTTCGTATTGATCAATGTTCACAAGATTTATTTATTCGCGTATAATACGCACTCGTGTGTTATATGCACCCTTAATTATAGGCAATTAAATTCTGGAAAAAATATATATGTCGTATATAAACATTTCAGGCTGTCAGCATAAACCACGAAATTTATCTTTCAACTCTGTTGTTTTTCACCAAAATAATATTCTAATAAGAGCCCCCTATTTCTAATTTTAGAGAGCGCCCTGGGCGCTTATTACGTCGAATACGGTAATTGTATTTTTGATTTTCACAACAATGTTTTTTATTCCTACATCGGATGGACAATAGCTAAATTATACATTATATATCTCATCATATATTTTTGACTATCCAAGTTATCTGACCATATGTAACAAAACAAAAGCAAAATAAAAGGATTTAATAAACTCTATGTCTAGTTTTATGTTCAAATGAAAACCAAAACCTGTAAAAGTAACTGTAGATGGGCAACACTCTGAACCTTATTTCATTAAGTAAAAATGTATGCAATGACATATAGATATAACATAGGTAAGTATGTTTCATAACAGTTATCTGCAAAAATAAACGCTGAAGAAGTCTCTGTAACATTTAAACTGAAAACCTAAAAAATCATTCTACATGACACTATACACATATCCGCACTTGTGCGCACACACACACATTACATTGAGTTTAATGTATACATATTTAATAACAGTATATATCACTTATCAAAATATGACAAATATCAGCCTGTCTTAATCAATTAATAAAGTGTCTGGTGTATTGAACAAAACCTTCAAGAAAATGATACTGTTACATTACACTACATGTTTCTTCTATGCGACTTTGATTAAAAGATGCTGCCTATGAAAATATGCCCCATTTTCTAATGATGGCATGCCCTACACAGTGTACGCCCATCTACAGCCATCTGTACCAACTAGAAAGCTGTAACATCAGCTATAACGGACTGCATATACCAACTAGGTGATACCTTAATGGTTGATATTTTGCCAGGTGCGGCCTGACCCGCATTTCGCACCCCTGTTTTACCCTTCGGTGCAGAGGTGCCTCCACCGGTCTGTTAGTGAAGTGGAGCAGGGAGAAAAGAGAGAGAGAGAGAGAGAATAATACACAGTGCGAGTATTCATGTGTGGGAGCCGGCATCACACAGCGGCTCAGGCAATGTGTAGATGGCACATGGTGAACAATTTCAGTAGAGGTAAAACTAGAGACGTCAATTACTTAAAGTCAAGTCACATTTGAAAATGATTTCATAAAACCACATCAAGTAAAAACACAAACAACGACATGATATGTCAAAGCAAAACATAATAGTACTTTGAAGAAACATTTTGATGAGAGAAAAAAAATTTATGCAACTTGTATGCTTGCGTGTTACAGCGAAAATGAAGAGTTCTTAAACTGCTCAAATGAAAAAAGTAAATAAATAACTTTTGGGATCTCTCATTTTATCTTCATCTGAAATAGGAACCATTTGCCATCTTTATTATACTTCAAAGTGCAAACACACAAGCCACTCATTTAAGCATGAGCTTGCATGCACTGTGCTGCATCTTGATGCATGTCACAATGTGCATATAACTTACCCGTATACGTGTAGCCCTCCTGCGTGACAAGTCGCCCATACCTGCTACGCTCTGTTCCATTAGAAGCACATGATTATCTCATAAAAACACAAACGAAATAAACTGCATTGTTCACGAAAAAGATGTTGCAGAATTATGTTCATCAATGTTGGACACATCAAGGGGCGCCTTGATCTTCATAAATGAGCATGTAATAATTAACATGGAACTTAAATGTTAGTTTGTGAGAGGTTCAGGAAACTGTAATACACAAAATGAAAGTCTGACAATTGGTAGTCTAGATCACATACTTTGTGTACCCCTCTCACAAGTGTCAATTGAAATGGCTCCCATGGCTACGAACACATAATGCCATTTAGAAAGTGGTCACATATAACATATGTTATATTTGGGATAACACTTTCTTAGTAAAGTACAGATTCTCGTACCTTTTGGGGCTGAGTCCCATCTGCAATACATGCTGTTTGAGATTTATCGCAGAGGTGTGTATTCATAAATGATGAAGGTGATGCACAGCATCGTGCAACATCCTTCTTGCCTCAGCTATCATTGATTACTCTTCAATGTTTATTGATAGCCAGAGTGATACCAAACACAAACTGCTGCATGCATGCTACAACTGAATACACATTAATGATGTGATACTTTATGTCTCCTTTGCGACTTGCAGTGCTTTGACTTTGTGTCAAATATTAAATTTTATTTGTATAGGAGTAAATATTTTGCATCAGGTTAATCCCTGTCATGTTGAACAAAAGCATGCCGATTCATTTTTCCTTCTACATGTAGTTATGAGCAAATTGTAATTACTGATAAAACAGACATGGTTTATTGTCTGTGTGTTGTAACCTCCTACGACAAGCACAAGTTGCTTGTGGACTTATTCTAACTTGGAATCCCTACGGGGGCAAATAGGATTTGTTTGTTTGTTTGCTGTTTAACGCCACACTCAGCAATATTTCAGCTGTATGATGGCGGTCTGCAAATAATCGAGCCTGGACCAGACAATCTAGTGATTGACATCGACAGCATCGGTCCACGCAATTGAGATATGATGCGTGCATCAACCAAGTCACCAAGTCTGACCACCCGATCCGGTTAGTCGCCTCTTACGACAAGCACAGTCGCCTTTTATGGCAAGCATGGGTTGCTGAAGATCAGTTCTTACCTGGATCTTAACAGGTAGAAAAAAGGAATTGAAAAATGTGAACTCCATGGATTCCCAAGACAATAAGTTAAAAGTTGTGAGTGCAGGCTGATGGAGTACAAGAAGCCAGAAGTACAAAAGTGAATAGGCAAATTTATACCTAATACAGGTTTAACAATCAATTTTAGCACCAATAATAATTTTGATAATAAATTGTGACAATGAAGGCTAAAGCAAAGATTTCATCCTGATCAATTTATACAAATAGACTGGATTTGCGTTATGAAATTCATCACTGAATCCTCACTTCTGACAGTGACACATCAGTAACCGAAACATATCTGCATGGGTGGATGGATTTTACTGCCTTATATAATATATACCTTTTTACTGATGACACATATAGTACTTCATATATAATCAATACGTTTTAAAATTCTAAGATGACATGCATGGGAAAACATTCATAAACCGGTGGAAACATGCATGGTACTGTAGCATGTAGGTATAGAATTGATTTCTATAACATTATTCGTTTTTTTCACCCTTTGCCAAACAACATCATTATCATAAATGTGTTAAAAACAAATCAGCATGGGGATATATACCTGTTTGGCCTTGACTGCCTTGGGTGGCATGGTTGGTGTTCTTCTAGTTCTTACTTCGAACAAACTTCTCTGAATGCAGACAACTTGCAATGTAAACAACTATGGCGGTGAGTGTGGTCAATAGCAACGCACATGCGTACTCGATCCCACTTCTTTTCCCATGAATCCGTTTTAAAATGGCGTCGTTGATAGACCGGAAATAGAGCTACTCTGATAATGTTGGACAGCTGATGAAGTTATTTTTCTTGAGAAATAATTATTCCACCATCATCAATGGATAGTATGGAAGACAGCGGTTTTGACAGTGATCAGAAGTCGCAGAATGGACATTTTGATACAAGGGTTAGTAAAGTGCAGTCTCTAAACCATCCTTCGTTTGAGAGGCTTCATCTTGTCACTGTCAGCATTAGGCCTCACATTTACATGTTTTAGGCGTAGATGCAGTTGCGTGTAACATATTGTCACTTACATATTTTCTTAAGTGAACACCTTCTCATCTCACAATTCAATAATCTAGGAAGACATCCAGAAGTATCTGTCGTGTAGGTTAATTAAACATTATTGTTGTGCATGATCAAGATCATTGGTCTGCCTTGTTATTTCAATTATTTTATCTGCCCACGTATGTCAACTTTAAACTTTTTGTGTATGCCAGGAGTACCACATACTGCGATTATTCAAAGTTGAAGGTTTAAGTGTATGGGGAGTGCCTTAGGATCAGCAATTGATGAGTCACTAACCATGATAATTAATATGTATGCCCACCATATGCAACCTTTGGCTTCTACAGAGACCATATCGGTATATGGTCTCTGGCATCTATTATTCATATTTTTATCAATCGTCATGTCATTATGAAATGATACAATCCTGTACTACCCTTGTGTCACTTTAGCCTTTTCCTTCCCCATAAGCTTATATGCTGTGATATGGACTATAATAACTGATATGTACTGTTGATGGCAGCGTTGAACCAAACTAACTCAAATCATGTTAGTTATGGAATTCATAAGCTTACTGGGCTAGCTGTGGCCAAGCCACACATATATATACCATAGAATGTTAGAATGTGTAGTGTTTGCATTGATACTTCTACAGAGTATTTTATCAGGTAGCACCACAGCACCACAACTTCTCTTGAGGACGATCTCTGCCGTCCATCACTTAAATTGTCACTACGACAAGCAACAAGTTTTTGTGAGATTTCGTCAGATGCGAACTGAGATTGAATGATAGAAGTTTATATTTTCAACCAAATAATGAAATGCACATTACCATGATTACTACAATCAGTGTTTGAAAAAAAATTAAAACCCGAAAAGACAGTTGGGCAGGTGACCCATAAAATGTTGCCTGCCATCTTCAACATGTTCAAAGTTACCTGCCCGCATTCAGACATTATGAATATTGAAAAATTGTGAAAAGAAAAGAGATAATCACACCTTGATTCAGTTGAAATAATGCTAACAATTACTTAAGAATCTTCCACAAGTTATAATAAAACTGAATACATTGGCTTAAAATTATCTGCCAGACAGTGGGGCAGGTGGAAGAAAGTTTCATGCAAGCCCGACAGAAAAGTTACCAGCCACAGACAGGCAGTTATTTCGGACACTGACTGCAATGACAACATATACTGTTTGGTAATAATATATAATATATTGAGATGCATTACCCTCATACCCTGGCTTATTTGAAGCAGTCACTTTAATCGTGTTAATATCTGGTTATTTATAGTGGAACATTGTGATTCGGTTATTTCTGATGGTATTTCCTTATATTTATACCAGTAAGACAAAACAATCATTGATGTGATTCATCCTCCAGTGTTAGAAATAGGGCTATGGCAAGAACTGTTTGACTCATGTTCATGGTTAATTTCAAACACTGTCTTGTGTGTCAAAGAGCATGTATTGTGTTTATTTCTCAAACATGATTCAGCAGGATATGTCCATTGTAGATTCCCAGTGACTGCACTTTATCAACACTTCCATTGTAACAGTACATGGAAATTGGAAAGAAAGTCACAGGGGGAAAAACACAGAAACAGTCACAATTTTGCCAAGGAAAAATTACACAGGAGAATAAGTCACAACTATTCACAACAGTTTATTGCAGTTCAAACTTGACAATTATGACATGTAACAATATAAATAGATATTGGTTGAAACAATAAGATTGAAAATATAACACAGCACATCAATTACCAGTTATGAGCACATTATGTTCTACTTATTAATCACATTCATTTAAATGACTTTTCAATGTTCTTTGTTCAGTCTTATGGTATTATATTCTACTAACAGGTACAGAAAGTTTAACTGGAAACTGAGTCCCAACTCTAACAATGCTCTAATGTACCATTGTTATTATTTGCAAATGTCAATGTTAATACAAAACCTACCCTATCTTTAAGAATTACTGTAATTAATTACTTGACAGGCAGTGGATTAGTTAATTACTTAATTACTTTAATGGTGCCTTTGTGATTATTGTTGAGCCTTAAGTGTCTGAAAATTGTCATGATTATTCAAGCTTAAGGCCAATTAAATTTGTTTTATTGGGGGTTGTTATTTATATCTGCACTCAGCCAATTAATGCTCAAGGTTAATTACAAAAGCTATAATAAAATTCACCATCTCTTTTCAAATCAGACAAAGCCAGTCTAACCCATGCTTCTTTAACCTAATCTGGTCACACATGGTTAACATGGTAACAATTCTATTTTCTTATACAGATATTCGAGATGAGCTATTCCATTTTATCTACATTTTCAGTTAACAAATGTTTGAGACATAATTATTTTCAGTTGACAGACGGTTGACACATATAATCATTTTGGATAAATGAACCTCATTTGTTATCTTGTTGCCCTAACCATGCTAACCATTTATGCTAACTGTCTTCATGTCCTGAAAAAAGCAAGGCATAAGTCAGGCACTATCAGTTGACTTTTAAAACTGTAGTCAGTCATCATGTGTCTACAGTCTTCATTGTTCTGTGTGTGAAGCAGGTCAATAAAGCGATATTCTAAGGGGATTTGTGATGAATTCAAAGGCATGGTCAGTTATTTACGACCTAATAAATCTTAGTTGGTTCAGTTGACACAATTGACTTAAAACATCATGGGCATAATGAGCTGTCCATGTTAAGTATCTGCTTACCCTCATGGCTTTACTGCTGCAGGTGAATAGGCAGAAAAGCCTTCCATTACACAACATCCCTAAGGGCATGACAGGTTAACCAAATGGTTTTTCATAATTTCACATTAAACTTAAGATGTAATTATTTTGGATGTTATGTCAGTTTTAATTGTTTGCATCACAAAGTTTTTTTCAAGAACATATTTATTTATAGTTAATGGTCTGTATGCATATGTTTGCAGAAAGAATCCACATTAACCAAAAGTGCCTCCTACAAGGCTTTGAAGAAAGCAGCAGAACTACAAAAGAAAATTGGTAAGTTCACAGTGTACCAATATGACTATAGAGGAAGAGGTATGAATCATGATGATAAGGCCCTTCTTGGTCGACTGGCTGTGCATTATTTAATAAATGAGTCTAACTTTTAGAAAGCATTTTGACAATTAGAAGATTTGCTCATATGATTATGAATGAGAAGACTGTTCTTTTCAACAGTTGGACCCAGTGTATGAAATAACACAATTTTCCAGGCTGCCATCAGGACCGACAGACTTTAGAAGCTGCAGGCCCTGACTAAACTCTTCAGGCCCTTGATATTTATACAAATAAAATACCTAAACATTGTTTACTTGATACATTATACATAATGTAGAAAATGTCAGTGATTGTTCAATTTCAATGTTGTTGACAGTAGTTAACTGGTGAAAACAAACTTGTGATTCCAAAATCAGGGTGCACTTTAATATGGTCTGGGTACAAAATGAATGGCTACAAAAATCTGGGTAAACACTTGACATGTTAGTTTTGTACAGAGGGTACATTTCGATGGAAACTGATCGAGAGTGTCCCTATCAGCATTTCTTGGTAGATGGGATTTGATGTCATTTTACAAAGCTGTCCCTTAGGGATGAGACGAGTCCAAATTTACTACCCGGGTACCCGACCCCCTATTACCCGACCCCCTATTACCCGACCTTACCCAGGAACTCACTGTAGGTCTCAAGAGTTGGGAACAAAATATCTGATTGGGAAATGTTTTACCGCAGCCCTGGCCAAAACTATTCAGAAACATGCATCAAACGATAAGATCATGCGTACACTGAATATGACTGAAGCTTCGTCTTTACCATGTTTACTCACAAAAACAAGTCAAAGGAATATGTGCATCGTCAGAAAGAATTGTGAACATTAGCGACTTGTAGTGTAACCACAGAGCTGTAGTGAATTTGTTTCATTAAACAATATATCACGTGACTAACCATGGGTCCGGGTAGTCCTGTGGGTACCCGAGTCCTGCTCAGCACCCTCCCGACCCGAGTACCCTAGTTACCCTTTTCCAGCCCTTCTGTCCCTTCGATGTAATTAGGGCAAGTATCCTGTGTTCCAGAAAAGCAAAGGGAGTTGGCAAAGAAAGCCCAGGCCCAAGCTGCCGCTATAGAACACCAGCCTAAACGATCCTTCCTCCTTCCCAGAAGCAGGTGAGTGATAGCATCGTGTCACAGAGGATTTGTCAAGCATTCTAATAGTTACCATTTAGTTACATTTCTAGATGAAAGGTGTCCAGATGTTTTAATTCTATGTGTGATGTTAACGAGGGGTGTGCAATATAACTGGTATTTCGGAATATTGCAATATGACCGTCAGCAATACATGTATCACAATAAAACCCTTGTGTATCAATATTTTCCAATACAGTCACAGAAGAATTAACCTATAATTATGTAAATTATATCTATTATCTTGAGGCATTTGGATGGACTGGGTTCCTATCTAAACTATGTAAACAGCACGTTTCACGCTTTACATTAACATTCATATTGATGACATAATAGGTAAAGTACTGTCAGAAATGCTAGAGAAGTGCATTTTAGCCTTCAATAAATAAATTATAATCACAGGGCTATGAAAATATAGCCTATAACTTGAGGTAGAACACCTAACACCTGTCCCGAGGTGATTACTTGAGCAAGGCCCGTGCATTATCACCAGTGCAAATGTCACCTGAGTCGGGGATGGTCTCAAAATAATGCTGTTATCATGGTTTTGTACATAAACTGAGATGTACGTTGACGGGTGTAGCCATTAAGATATATACTGCTTTATGTTTATTTGGAAAAATGATAGAAAAGTTGGAAGCTATGAAAAGGGATGAGTATTTGAAGGTTGGGGCTTTTGAATCAAGAAGTATTTGTTGTTCTGCAGATGATTCCTTTAGCCAGCATATGACATGTATGACTCAGCTGATGACGTATCTAAATCTGTACTATCATCCAAAGGTATGACAACTGGTGCAGCAAGGCTGATATCTACACAGTCATGATGGCTGTACTACTCATAGTTGGCACGACAGAATCAGTTTAACTGACAATATCCATGGGGCACTGGGACACTGGGGTTGTTTAGATTTGGCAGTAGCTGATGTTCCAATTAGTCTATGAACACATCACCATTCATTTATGATAATCCTATTGAAAAGTAGCTCACATCCATCATTAAGCCCCAGATCATGGGTTCCAGCATGCAAAACAAATTGTCTCTAAAACTATTCAAGTTAAGAGAAATGATATATAACACAATGATGTCATTGGTCACAATCTTAAATGAGTTCGAAAAGTAGTGTCATGCATTAATATTTTACATAGTTATGGCCCTTGCTCCATGCTTCTCAGCAACTACTGAAATTACAAAAATGAAAGTTTGCATGCTTACCTAAGAGATACTTGTCAATACACAGTTAGAAAATTTGTGCCATAAATTATTTTTTTACAGAGTTATTGCCCTTGCTCCATGCTTTTGAAGTTAGTGCAAGGTGTCTGCAATGCAGGCAACTTTTCTCAGAAACTACTGACATAAAATTAATGAAACTTTGCAAGCTTATCTAAGAGATACTTGTCAAAAGTGAGTTCCGAAAATTGATCCTGTCCATTATTTTATTTACAGAGTTATGGCCCTTGCTCCGGCTTTCAACTTAGTGCATACTGAGTGAAATGGGGACCACTTTTCTCAGCAACTACTGAAGTTGCATGAATGAAAATTTGCATGGTTATCTAAGAGATGCTTGTGAAGTATGAGTTCGATAATTGGTCCCATATATTATTATTTTTACAGAGTTATTGCTCTTGACATCTGCAATGGGGACAAGTTCACTATTCACTACTATATGAGCAAACAAAATTCTAATGTGCCCCTTGGCAGGGGATAGTGATAATGCTGTTTCTTGTTGTGTCTTTAATTTCCTGAATTCTACTACAAGTCGGGGGTACCTTCTGCTGATGAAGCTTGTGGTGGGCACGGGTGGCCCAGTCATCTAAGGCGCCATGATTTGCTGTGCAAAGTTACATTCCCTGAACACGCCAGAAACCTATGATTGTGGGTTCGAATCCCTGTTCGCCCCAATTATGTTTCTAGGTTTGTCAACACCATACCAGAGCTCGTGGGTGGTAAGTCGTAAACGGCTGAGACTTGCATCACTTGGGGCTTTCCTCCCACATTAAGCTGACATGACGAGCTATAACTGGAATACTGATAATTGCGACGTTAAACCCAACTCACTCACTCATAAAGCTTTACACCGTACTCCTAATCACCCCTTTATCAGGTTTATCAATACTATCTAATGTCCTATTTTTGACATGGAAAAGAATCATTGTTCATGATCGCTTAGATATTTATGATCTTAATATCAGGTGTTTTTTTAAGAATATGTATGTGAAAGAATAGCATTGCTTTAATCCATTTGTGAATAAAGCAAGAAATGACACGACAAAAAAATTGACGCTGGGCCTAGACAGACATTGGCAATGACAGTCTCACATTCTACAGCTGTGTATTTAATTCAGCACTCGTGTCATTTTCTTCTAACTGAGGAAGGCTGGGTTAGCCTAGTGGTTCAAGCGTTCACTGAAGGTCCAGGTTGAATTTTCCACAAGAGTACAATGTTTGAAGCCCATTTCTGCTGTCCCCTGCCATGATAATGCTGGAGTATTGTATCATTAGATGCGACCATGGAATCAGGTTGAGGGTGTGTCATCATACCCATACAGGGTGCATCGTTGTTCACAATATCAATCACTGGATTGTCTGGTCCCAATTCAATTATTTACCATGTTTACAGGCCACCATCATTTTATTGAAATATTGCTGAATGTGGTGTTAAACAACAAACAAAGAGAACATCTCTTATATTAAATGGTGTTTGTTTGTTGCAGGGTAACAGTACCAGAGATGAAACCCCTCAATCCAGATCAGCAGCCTCTAGTTACCATAGTCACAGACAGGCAAGTACACTGAGGAAGACTTTGTGTAGAAATAACAACTGTCATTATCATGATAACAATTTTCATATGGTTATACCATGATCATGATAAATATTAATCATGTGAATGAAATGTGGCCTGACGAGCCCCAAAGTATATGTCAGGGTTGAGTGATTTCCCAGTGCCTGAAGAATCAAACTGGGGTTCTTGTAGTTATATGATAACGGGTATAATTATTAATGACTGTACCTAATTTTATTATATTATTATGATAAATATCACCTGTGGAGATGCTTTTGTTCTACATGCAGTAATTTGTGATCCGTTGACAGGCAGTCACGCATACAAATAAACCTCATGTACACGGGGGGCACGGGTGGCCCAGTCCTCTAAGGCGCCGAGATTCGCTGTGCAGAGTTGCGTCCCTTAGGCACGCCAGAAACCTATGATTGTAGGTTCGAATCCCGGTTCGCCCCGATTATGTTTCTAGGTTTGTCAGCACCATACCCGTGCTCGTGGGTTTCACCGAAGTGGTAAACGTCTGAGACCTGCATCACTTCGGGCTTTCCTCCCACATTAAGCAGACACGCCGTGATATAACTGGAATATTGTTGAAAGCGGCGTTAAACCCAACTCACTCACTCACTCATGTACAGGGTTCATCCTTTGCTGGTTATAATATGAGTGTGTGTCATTGTACAGTGTGAATCATGCTTTCAGGCACTGGTTTCTTTAATCTTGACTTGATAGTTTATAGGCTCATGATATTACTGATTGGGGTGATTTCCAGATCTATAGATTGAGATTGCTCAGAAAATTTGGAACTAGGGAGTGTTTTTCCAGTTCTGTAAGAAGAAAGTACATTAGTTAAAGTTCAGACATTTTCTGACTTCATATCTTAGTTGAGAAGACAAAGAAATAGTCACTTCATGATAATATATCTTTGAAAGTCATCCACAGCTAGGCTGCTTTGCGTTTTCAAATATGCACCTGTCACAAGATTGTTTGTTGTTTCAGTGAGGATGATGAGTTTGATCTTCCACAGACAAGTCGCACTGCTCAAAAGGAAATAACTGCCCAGTTAATTAAAGATGGTTACAACCTTGACCTTGAACCTGACGACGAAGATCTTGATTTGATACCGCCACGCCCACTTAATGAAAGATGTACATGCTGTCAGCTTCACCAACAACCAGGCTGTGTCATCCAGTGACGACACTGTCGTACAATAGCATGGATATAACATATGATAGCTTAGCTGTTGGCTGTATCCTACAATGGTGCGGCTAGCTGTAACTATGATGACTTGCCTTAGCATGAGAACAGCTAAGCTGTTCGACCCAATCATACTGTTGTTGTTGTTGTTGTCTGCCAGATGAGGTTGGTTCTAACCCAGCTGTGTTTGGTATTGACTGAGCTTTGTCTACAGCCTGCCTGTATTCCTGTGTCAGCATGAAGACTTTCCACCCAGGTGTTGCTGTGTCAGCTCTGTCAGCTCTGTCAGCTGTGTCCTCAGCTTAAGCTGTTTCTTTGATCCACCAATGAAGAGCTTCATCAATGATTCAGCTGTGAATAGTTGTAACTGTGTCGGTGATGAAACTGAACGATTCAGTTGTGTGCTCCCAGCTATACCTGTCATGTATTCAGCTGTTATTAATTCAAGCTGTGTAAATGATTCAGCTGTGTGCTCCCAGCTGTACTTGTCATGTATTCAGCTGTTATCAATTCAAGCTGTGTAAATTATTCAGCTGTGTGCTCCCAGCTGTACCTGTCATGTATTCAGCTGTTATTAATTCAAGCTGTGTAAATGATTCAGCTGTGTGCTCCCAGCTGTACTTGTCATGTATTCAGCTGTTATTAATTCAAGCTGTGTCAATGATTCAGCTGTGTGCTCCCAGCTGTACTTGTCATGTATTCAGCTGTTATTAATTCAAGCTGTGTAAATGATTCAGCTGTGTGCTCCCAGCTATACCTGTCATGTATTCAGCTGTTATCAATTCAAGCTGTGTAAATGATTCAGCTGTGTGCTCCCAGCTATACCTGTCATGTATTCAGCTGTTATTAATTCAAGCTGTGTCAATGATTCAGCTGTGTGCTCCCAGCTGTACTTGTCATGTATTCAGCTGTTATTAATTCAAGCTGTGTCAATGATTCAGCTGTGTGCTCCCAGCTGTACCTGTCATGTATTCAGCTGTTATTAATTCAAGCTGTGTAAATGATTCAGCTGTGTGCTCCCAGCTGTACTTGTCATGTATTCAGCTGTTATTAATTCAAGCTGTGTCAATGATTCAGCTGTGTGCTCCCATCTCTACCTTCATCTATTCATCTGTCAATGATTCAGCTGTGTCATTTATTCAAGCTGTATCAGTGGTTCAAGCTGTGTCAATGATTCAGCTATGTGCTCCCATCTCCACCTTCATCTATCAATGATTTAGCCGTATTTAAGCAGTATGATCGTGTGATTTGTCACCTGAGTCACAGATGTGTCAATTATCAGCCAGCTCTCATCTGTACCATATACCGGACTCTGCTGTCAGGTACAGCTTTGTCAACGTTCATATTATATTCTGTGTGGGATCAACTCAGAAAGTGTGGCATCAATTGTTGTCAAAATCTATGTGCAGAATCTCACACACTTTGCAACTATCTATATAGTGTATATATAACCAGAAAGTATGCATGGGGTCATCAATGGATATGTGTTGCACGTAGTGGGTCTTCTTCTCTCACATATCTCTTATTTCTATAAAACAGGGTTTTTTAAACAGCATGCCCAGCAACCATATCTTCATTACAGGAAAGTAAGCTTTTCATATTAATATTAGGAATCTTAAATCGCTTGATGTGATGTGATTACAAGGACAAGGGGTGTGTGATAGATAAGTAGCTGACATGGTTAAACATCCACCTAACATTATTTTCCTGCAAAAGTATGTCATCCGTACATGAGTATGTATTTGGATGGCGATATTTCTTTATCATCATCATGCTGCAGTGTTGCTTATCTGTTTTCGTGGGTGTTACGATTTATAAAAGTTCAAAGTTCAGTGCATGGCACAAATTTGTATCAAATCATGAGGTTGTTCATGAGGTCATGTAAAATGGTATGAAGATGAAATGTGAAATACTATTTTCTGACAATGTGTACAAGAATACAGGCACTGATACTTTGACTCAAATTGAGGTTTGACCTCTTTCCTTTCCCATTGATAATGGAATACATCTCTGTAACATGACAGTTTGTATAGTAGTTCCACGTACTACCACGTACAAAACCTTTTGTTGTGCCATGGTTACACCTCTACAGCCTTGATGTTTAACATGTTCCATCACATTATCCTTAAATCTCAAAGGTATGTGATCACACAGTTTCGCATGTTTAGGCAGGACATCTCTTTTAAACAAAAGTTTTAGAATACAACTGAAGACATATTTTGTTAATTCTGACGAATTTAAACGTGTTTACAACAATATCAGGCTGTCCTTTGTATTTGATGAGTTTCACAAACTACCGACCAAGAGTTTTTACTATCGTAGTTTATGAAGATGGACATTGTAAGCATGGTAGATCAGATTTGCTCATTTTGGTTCAGACTATGGTTTCTAATCTGATGATAGACCATGTTGCTGTTAGGTTGTTGGGACTTGACGTTGGAGGAGGCTGTTTAAGTACTACTCAAAAGAAGTTAAGGAACACCTGATTCTATAGTATTACTTTTGTTGATCTCTCATGTAACCCGATTCTTTCATATTACTATAGTTAATGTGTCATGCCATGACCCGATTCTTTCATATTACTATAGTTAATCTGGGGGCACGGGTGGCCCAGTCGTCTAAGGCGCCGCGATTCGCTGTGCAGAGTTGCGTCCCTTGGCCACGCCAGAAACCTATGATTGTGGGTTCGAATCCATGCCATGACAGATTAACTGTAAATATGAAAGAATCGGGTGGTATTAACTTTATTTTGAGTAGTATACTTATATTTTTATGTTCTTTTGTGCACAAGCAAGTCAAAAGGAATTGGCTAATAATTGAGGTTTGTTGTGCATATTTTACGCAAATACACAGCTTATTTGGAGCTCTGAGTCTACCTTCATTACATGTTGTGATAATCTATCAGACGTCTAGAGTAGAGTAGTACTTGTGATGTAGCTTGAACAGTGTTTGCAGCTGAGGACTTACAGGTGCTAATTTTACTATATCAAAAAACTTGCTGAAGTCAGTTTCAGCACATCTAGGTATTTTTATCAGTGTTATGTTAACATGGTTAATATTTCATGTTGAGTCAGGGTTGAGCATGTTGTGTAGGGTATATTTGTGGTAGAGTGTTGTCTGGCAGGACAAAGGTTAAAAGAAAATAGTGTAGAACAAACTAGATTAAATATGCTTATCAAACTGATAATACTTCTAACATACAATACCAGACAAATATGATTTTTACAGTGTGTATGGTCTATATCCAATTATATTTCATTTTCATGTTGAATGTAGTTCTCAGAACCACAACACGTAATGTTAACCATGTTAATTCAAGAATATCAGCTAAAAACGAAATAATTTGTTCTCAAATAACAATTATATATTTTTAATAATTGGTTTGGTTGAAATTTGAACATTAGTCGCTCAAATTTCTCAACTTTTGCATTATTCAATCTTGCTAGCCTCTGTTTTCTGTAGTATAAGGGTAACGCTATTTTGCAGGACATTATCATTTGCAGAAGCCCGAGGTCTTCCATTAACCGCCCGATGAAGGATGGAATAGCTAAAATGGATGGAATTTGTTTTCAAATAAAAAGAAACAACAATATCGGTTTTGAAACATTTACTGCAATCGACAGTAATGCCACTGACCCACTTTTTCAAATATGGAAACTTCATAGAACAAACCAGATGACGTCACTATTGAAAGTGACGTCACCTATCCCAACCCTATGACGTCACTTAACAACAGGCTTGATAATGCCCCGTCGTCAAGCAATATGAGGGCGTTATCAAGTTACAGTGGCCCGCTGATTTCTGATAACATGCGGGCGGGTTAATGATAATTCTATCCATTTTAGCTATAATATCCGAAATTCATTATTTACACAACTGAGTGAACATATTGTGTACACTATTGTATACATCATGACAGTACACACAGGAGGTCACACACACACACAATGGATATTGTTTGTTCTACAATAATGTGCAATGATTCCCAGATTTTATGTTGATATTAGCAATGCCAATTGCATTGTCAGAGTGTTGCATTGTTTTATTTAAGCCTCTTTTAAGTTTGTTATGATCCAGAAAAGCATTTGCAATGTTATACACCTACTTCCTTCTTTGTGTAGCTTTTATCATGTATATATTTATACATATATCGTTGCTCAAACTATTTCACGATATAGTGAGGTACTGTTTATACCAAGAGTAAATGTCACCATGGGTAAATGGATTCCGAACAGCTGAAATAATAATACATGTATACAGTAGACATGGTAGAAGCCAGATGTGGCAGTTATAGTGACGTAGAGCATTTAGACCAATGTGTCGTCACTTATGCTTGCAGATATGCCTGAATAATGTTTGCATATTTGCTTTTTGCAAGTGTCCTAGGTTTTTTTAGCATGAAATTTCAAATTATGTCCTCATAAAATGCTTCCATATAGGATGTTTTGTAGATGCACCAGAGCTTAAGAAAAGAGAACATACTTTTATAGCCTCCTGTAAAATATTCCACAGTGGCTCCAAAATATCTGTGTTGTATACACTGAACTATAGTCTGGAAGGTAATTTAAGGTACTGACGTTTACTACAATATCTGAAAAACTATTGGACCTACTCCAGTCAAAGTTGGTATGAGATTATTAAACAGTCATACATACACAGTTGAACCACGGGAATCACGCACTCACAGCTACAGTGTTAGCGTTGGGCGTCTCAACGTGCATGATTCTCGTGCAACCTTTCAAGTTATATATGGCCCTGTGACGCAGGGGTAGCATTATGCAGATGGCCGTTACAATGAATGCTCGTTCCACCAGTGACGAACAGGTCTGGTTGTTGATGAAATATAGTGATAGCTAAATAGACAGATTTTTTATTCATGCACCGATTGTATTTAAATGTAATATCCAGTTATGTATGACTGTTTAATAATCTCATACCAACTTTGACGTGAGTAGGTCCGATAGTTTTTCAGATATTGTAGTAAATGTCGGTACCTTAAATTACCCTCCAGACTATACATTACTATGGTTGAAGTTGACATGGGTTGGGTTGTGGTCTTCCATCAGGGTGTTCACCATGTTTATGGGAGTGGGGAGGGGAGGGGGATGTTACCATGGTTACTGGGTGTCTTGCCTTGACCTTTTGAAATAACTGTCAACTGATTGGGTCTTTCAAGTGCATTGTGTTCTAGAGGTGGAAACAAATCAAGTTTTCATGTTAGTTAGACCATAGACACATTACTAGTATCTGTATGAAGCAGTATCTTACCATGTTTACACTCTCTAATAGTAATACCCAGTGTGTCATATCTCAATTTTCTAACAATGAATACCCTTGATCCGTTAAACAATAGCTTTAACTTGAGCCTGATGTTAGTGACACAACTAACTGATAGCCGATTAATGAATAACGTTTGTCACGCTCATGAACAAAAGAAATTCGTTGTTCAGTGATAATAAGGATGATGATGATCATGATGTCTCTTCTGAAACGAAGCTTTCGTAGCCAGTGGGTCCAAGGTATTGATCATAATCTGGGGGACATTGCATACTGGAAAATACAGGATGAGGATGTCATGACTGAACATTATTTTTATCTTTTGACATTAGAACACTCTCATGGATCCTTGTCTTGAAACAGTGATGAAGCTAGATCATTAATTACATATATTTTATGTATGTATTCATCGGAATGAGAGATTCCCACTGTTTTCCATAGTGTTGAATGTCTCGAGTACAAGATGAATGCCAGTACAGTGAAACCTCATCAGTCTCCTACTGAAATCATCCTGACTTACAAATGTATTAATAAATCCGTATTCGACGTAATAAGCACCCAGGGCGCTCTCAATATTAGAAATAGGGGGCTCTTATTAGAATATTATTTTGGTGAAAAAAAAACAGAGTTGAAAGATAAATTTCGTGGTTTATGGTGACAGCCTGAAATGTTTATGTACGACAGATATATTTTTCCAGAATTTAATTGCCAATAATTAAGGGTGCATATAACACACAAGTGTGCATATGTATACGCGAATAAATAAGTCTTGTGTACATTGATCAATCGGAAGGGGTGCTAATTAGGATTGTTTACTACCCAATATATCAGCAAATATCGCCGTGGGCGCTTATTAGAGCGGGGTGCTTATAACGTTGAATACGGTAACTGGTACAGGAGTAGTCCTTATGTATACTACTCAAAAGAAGTAAGGAACACCCACGTTTTTTGTATGTCTATAGTTAATCTGTGATGGTTGTATAGTTATGAAGAATATTAGATATAGATATATGGCCGTTAACATCAGGAATGCAAGGTTTCCAGACAAACAGGTTTCACTGTATATCCTTAGTTATATATGTTGATAATTGATCTGAGTCTCTGAAATCCTTTTCTATCTCATTTGTACTTAATTTACATGGATTTAAGAAATCCTGTATTATGTATTTGTTTGCTAATTTTCTTTGTTATTTTTACTCTTTAAATTGTTCATGTGAATCTACTACCTTTAGAAATATTAGTTTGTTTGTATGGTACAATAAGGTGAGGTGCGCTTGTGGTATAAATCTTGGTCACAAGTTATGCTATTGTTACTATTATCTTAATTGTGTTAGGGAAAATTGTTGACAGGTCAGAATAGTTGTACTATTAAGGATCAAGCTGTGTACCATGTTTACTATTTCAATTACACAATTCACTTCACTGATTGCAATTTTTCAAATAAAAGTGCTTACTACAGTAATAATTTGCAACAAAACAATTAGAATCTCTCAGCAAGATAAATAGAACCGTATCATTCAAATTATATTTCTTTCAATCTTTCCCGTTTTAGGATTGTTGCCAGATTTTTCGTTTAAGGTTATCTCCCTTCGTCTACTCAAGGCGTCTGAGCATTTAACATTTTCACAACACTGTTTTTGACAAAGCAATAACAGAACTTTTCTCATTTTCTGCACATTTCCCTACAACAATCAGCCTTTGTGCCTCATTAACTGAAAATAGGGCCATTTCCAGTAGCTGACCATTGAACTTACAGAATAAATGACTTAATGTATATTGTGTATCTGCTGATTTTTATAGTTTCTTTAGTTATGTAACAAGATGCACTACTTCTAGCTTTATACCAATTATTGAGCAAGTGAAAACATAGTTTGATACTCTTTTCTTCAGAAGAAATAACTGCTACCAGGGTATCTAGACATGCAAAGCTGTTTCAGGGGCGCGTGCTCCTTATCACAAGAGCACAGTATATATCAAGATGCACAACCTCTCGTACCTTCCCACAATTGTAAAGTATTAAATATAACCAAAATCTTTTCATGTCTTTAACATATACCTATTTTTTGTCAAAGTATCTGTGTAATGAAATTGTTAATTTCTTTGTTTATTATTCCATGGCGCCAAGGTGTATTGTCATGGAAACGTCCATGGGGGCTTGTGAGTAAGTAAACAGGAAATACACATATCATCAGTTTATTCAAAGTGTAATTCTATCATTTGGTTGGTCATGAACAACAAAATGAGGTCAACTTGGGCGTCTCCCACACAGCAGATGGGTACAATTGATTGCAGCAGTATTTCAAAGTTGATCAAAGATATTTCTGCATTTAGAACACTAAGTTCTTTTAGACATAAAATATTGATTAGGGC